GTTGGCTGGCCAGAGGCGCGGGTGCACGGGAAGGTGGCCGGGTGGACGGACACCCGGGGAGCTGGAAGGACGGCGGATGGATGGGCAGCTCTTGGGCGCAGAGGAAACATCTCGCAGAGTTGCCCAAGAACTCTCTGGACTGTGGCCGGAGGCCAGGTCAGCACAGGCCTCGCCCTCCCTGGCAGGTGGGCATCGTTGGCAGGACAGGGGCCGGGAAGTCCTCCCTGGCCGGGGGCCTGCTGCGGCTCCTGGAGGCGGCTGAGGGCGGGGTGTGGATCGACGGGGTGGCCATCGCCCACGTGGGCCTGCACACGCTGCGCTCCAGGATCACCATCATCCCCCAGGTGAGGCCTGGGGGCAGGGCGGGCCGAGGGGGAGGCGTGGCCGGCCGGCTCTGACCCGCTGCCCCTCTCCTCCTGGGCAGGACCCCATCCTGTTCCCCGGCTCCCTGCGGATGAACCTGGACATGTTTCAGGAGCACTCGGACGACGCTGTCTGGGCAGCGCTGGAGACCGTGCGGCTGCGCGCCCTGGTGGACGGGCTGCCCGGCCGGCTGCAGTACGAGTGCGCCGACCAGGGGGGCGACCTCAGGTAGGACCCCCACCCCCCGCCCCGCACAGCCAGGACCTGGGGGTACAGGGAGGAGAGGCAGGTGTGGCCCAGGCTCCCCCCGGAGCCTGCCCCATGGGACTACCCACCCTGTTCAGGTAATCAACGGTCCAATCCCGTCCTATCAGCAGCTCCAAACTCCAACACCATCCCTGAATAGCAAGTGTCCTCACCCTAAATGCGTTTCCTGGATTTATCTGGTGACAAAACCCCACCTCAGCGGACACGGGGCTCACTCTGTGACAAGCACCCCGCTGGGTGTGTCTATAAGCCTGGTCTCCGCCTCACCACCCCTGAGGACTTCAGATGCAGTGACCAGCCCCAGTCTTGCCTCACGCTGAGAACGGAACCTACCCATGCCCGGGCACTGGTGGCGCTGGCCCGCGGCGGAGGCCACAGACTAGACACAGAGACTAGGAATAGCCATCCCACAGGCGGGGAGACTGAGGCCTGGAGGCTTTGAATGACTTGTCTAAAATTCCGTCACCCTGCTCAGAAATGTCAGGATGGGAATTCTTCCCGCTCTGTTGACTAGGGGACCCCTGTTTAGGGGCATACCAGCATGCACCCCTACTTCTGAGGCTGTTATGGGCACCCATTTGTGGGCAGGCCCCACAAGTCCTGATGCGATGCAGACAAACATGCCCCTGACTGCCTGCTCGTTCCCAGTGTGGGCCAGAGGCAGCTCCTGTGCCTGGCACGGGCCCTCCTCCGGAAGACTCAGATCCTCATCCTGGACGAGGCCATGGCCGCCGTGGACCCGGGCACGGAGCTCCAGATGCAGGCGGCCCTGGGGAGCTGGTTCGCCCAGTGCACGGTGCTGCTCATCGCCCACCGCCTGCGCTCAGTGATGGGCTGCTCCAGGTAAGCTCCACCCCGCTCCGGCCCCAGGCCCATGCAGCGACGCTTCAGGATTTAGAGCTGGAAAAGCACCGGGATGGACCAAGGGTCCACTGTGCAGGTGGTAAGACTGGTGCCCAGAAGGCATGAGCCCAAGGGCACATGCCCGGCAGATGCTGCCAACCTGGCTGGAGGGTCAGGGACTAGAGAAGCCGACTTCTGGGGAGCACCCTCGAGCAGGCATGCTGGGCCCTCCAAACCGGCTGGTGTCCAAAAACTGTTTCCCTCTCTCTCCTCTGCAGGGTGCTGGTCATGGACAAAGGGAAGGTGGCAGAGAGTGGCAGCCCGGCCCAGCTGCTGGCCCGGAAGGGCCTCTTTTATAGGCTGGCACAGGAGTCAGGCCTGGTCTGAGCCAGGCTGTCCACCCCTGCTCCTGCCACCGTGCTAAGCTGCGGAGACGGCCTTGCCCTGGAGCTGTGACAGGGGGCATCAGTGCCGCCGTGGTGCTGAGGCTGGACCCCTCCCTCTCTGCAGTCTGGGAGGAAAGCAGAGAAAGCCGCCCCTTATCTCTGACCCAGGAGGACACAGCAAGCCCCGGGCCAGGCTGATCAGGGCTTGTCTGGAGCCCAAGTGACAGTGACCCCCAGTCCTGGGCACCCACTGGGCTCCCCTGGGGGCCTCAGACACCTGCCCACACCCAGGGCCCCCCCGCAGAGCCATGAAATCTGAATCCCTGGGACAGGAGCTGGGATGATGGTGTCTACTTGTTACAGATTTACGCTTTATTTTGCGGTGCTTATAAATTGACAAGCAGTTAGAAGAAATAACCCCCAATCTGTGTGTGCTAGCCCCCCACCCACCTGCAGCGATCGCATCTTGAAAGACGGTGCAATATCACAGCCGAGGGAGGTACTGACATTGGTGGAATCCACCAGTCACGTTCAGACTTCCCATTCCGCTTGTGCGCAGTGTGTACAAGGGCGGCGGGCCGTGTGTGTGTTTGTGTGTGTCTGTGTCCATGTGTCCATGTGCGCCAGAGACAGAACTTTCTTTCCTCTGCTGGTCCTGAGCCACCTGACATCCCGGCAGAGCCACCACAGGCAAAGGCAGAGGTGGTGGCACTTGGAAGTCCCTGGGGTGACCCCAAGGACACAAGAAACTCTTGTGGACCAGAACTTGCCAGGGACTAGAGTGTGGGCTTGAGAGCAGCTTGGTGTTGGGTGCACACCAAGGTCCCTTCGTCCAGGCCCCTCAGCCCCCTCGTGGGCTCCTGCCAGCAGGGCCTGGCTGGCCACAGGTGGCGTTAGATCCAGGACAGCCACACACAGCCCTCCCCTGGCCAATGCGTTCCTCAGTGGGCCAAGTCAGCCCCACTGCGTCCCACTTGTCACTGCAAACACTCAAGGGCCCCCCGACCACCTGTCACAGTCACCCTCCTCCACAGGAGGAGGGAGGTGCTGTCACTTTGCCCCTTACTAGGCCGTCCTGGGGAGAAAGGCACTGTCGTTGGGCCTCTCACACAGATGAGGAAACTGAGTCAGAGGGCAGGGGCGTTGCTGACCCCAGCGGTCTGACTTGAGCGCCCACGTCAAGCACTGCGTGTGCCAACTCTCACTTTCCACCGAGACCTGAATGCCACTCTCGAGAAAGGAGGGAAGGTGCTCACTCCTTGAGCCAAAGGCTGTGCATGTGGCTCACGATGTTCCCCAGCACCGAGCACTTAGCATGTGCAGCACGCAGGGTTCAATACATGCCCACGGCAAGATCGAACGGATGGGTGGGCAGATGGACGGAATGATGGACGGATAGATGCAGGGATGCATGGACAGATGGACGCATGGAAGGGAGAGTGGGAGAGTGACTGGGTGGGTGGAAGGGTGGATGGGGTGTGGGCAGACAGCAAATGATGGGTAAATGGCATTACCACACAGGAAGGGTCCCGAAGGCCGGGCCTAGTGTGACCTGTCTCCATCCTCACCACCACCTGGCCAGGTGGATACGGCCACCCTGGGCTTAAGAACCTCAGCTTCTCAAAGGACCTGGTGGCTTCACACCTTAGCCCAGGACCTGGAAAGAAGGGCTCGGTCCCAGATTGAAGAATCCAGTGCTTGAAGGTGTGCATTGTGCCCACCCTCCAGAGTGGCATTCTGAGAATAAAGCTCCAATCTCCTGGAGCTGCCGCTGCAGAATCAGTGTGTGTGGGAGGGGGTGGTGGGGGCGCATGATGTTGGCTTCTGGCGAAGGACCCTGAGGCAGGACAGCAGAGGGGTGAGTGGCTGGAGGGGGAGCTGAGGACAGAGGGGGCAGGGAGCCGGGCTGGCGACTCCAGGGGGTCACTTTGAAGGAACCGCCAAAGTCCATTATTATGGGATCACTAAGCTGTTGGGTCAAGACCTGACTGTGTGGGGTCGGGGCTTAGAGGGGAAGAAGCAGACGGCTAGTAACACCTCACCCACGTAAAGGCCACGTAAGTAGCTGTAACACCACGCTGTTTGGGGAACAATGACCGGCCAGGAGGTCGACACATTTCCTGCACAGACACAGTCACCGTGGGCCTGACTTGGCGGCACAGGTGGAGTGTGAGGTTGGCTGAAGCTGTGGGTTGACAGCAGAGGGCAGGGAGGTGGAGGCTACCCGGCCTCCTTGTGATGCTGACTCGCCCCCGTGTGACGCTGACTCACCGGCTGCTCTTCACCAGAACCTTCTGCTTCCCGGTCCCCAAGGCAAGGCAGCGATTTCACTAGGGGACAGCGATGTTGGAGGGAATGTTCCCTCTGCAGGTCCTCAGTGCATGGTTTCGGAGTGCAACAGATACACGACATGCTCCCCACGTACAGGCAATCCTCATTATCCACTCACCTGACTCAGACTCAGAAGCCCCACGCCGGTCTCATTACCCACCACCCCAAGCTTACAAATACCAACAACTGGCACAGGGAGATTCTTCTCTTCCTTATGCACCCCTACACCCCAGCTTCCTTTGTGGCTCAGTTGGGACCGTGATTCTGGCCAGTGGGCTGAGTGGGACTGACTTGTGTCCCTTCTGGCTTGGGGTGCTTCCGATGGGGTGTGTTGCCCAAGATCTGCCTTCCCGGGGTGACCGGGAAGCCAGCCCTTGAGAGGAGATACCATAACCCAGAACAGTCTGGATGTCCATTCATTGCATGGAAGAGGCGCATTAACCCTCATGAAAAACACATCAGCAAGAAACTTGCCCTCGTGTTCACCCCCCGGGAGTTTATGGCTACACGGATCCAGCTGCTCGGCCCAGGCTGACAATACAAAGAATTTTCAAGGGGAATTTTGACCATGTGTGATTTCCAACTTGCTATTGTGGTAAAACCTGACCAGATCCATCTGTGCCACACACATCACTGTTCACAACAACCCCAAAGGCAGCTGACAGACGGCAACTGAGGCAGAGACCCAGGGACTCGCCCAGGGCCACACAGCCCACAAATGACAAGGGCAGGACCCAAGCCTGGGCCTGTCTAAGCACAAAGACCAGGTTCCTGTCCGTGGGCTACAAGGGCTCCCCACTAAGTCCCACTGGATTATTAACCTCCAGGCGCCCCATTTCTGACAACACTGTGCTTGCCAGGAGGAAGGACCAGAAGCGGACAAGAGGGTGCCCCGACCACAGGCAGAGGGCTGGCACCTTCGCTCATGACCCGAAGAAAATGGAACAGTCATTTAGAAAGAAATAAAACTTTTCTTTTACTGCAAATCATTTGCAAATGTTCATGTTACCAGTGTAAGTCATTACAAAAAGATCCCCAAGAAAAACTTGGTTTATCTAATGTGAAAGAATGGTATAACTTACAAAAAATAAATATATTATTTCCACCTAAAAGAAGATGCTTCTTGGGCCCTGGCGCCGGCAATGTCACTCCCAGCAGGTGTGACTCCGGGCGGCAGTGACTGCTCTGGTTTCAGAGTCTCATTTTCTCTCTGACCAAGGGACCTTAAGGCCAGCCGCTGACGGACCCCCGTTCTCTTCCAGGAACACCCCACCAACGCTCAGACGCTGCCGACTCGGCGATTCCCTGGAATGCCGCTCTTTGCCCTGAACCTCCTCCCAAGAAAGCAAAGTCTTGAGACTTTCTCTCCCTAGAGCAGTACTTGAAAAGAAAGCGAGAAAGAAAAAGCAATCCCCGGTATTCATGAGTGGGTTCTTTGTTCTTTGCTTGTCCTGAGGGACACTCAGTAACGCAGCGGCCAGCTCTCCACACCCGACCTTGACAGCGCACCGGATGCCAAGGGGGAGAAACCGAAACTTAAAGACGAGAAGACTCCACAGGGTTCTTTCCGGGACCAGCTGGGCGTTCTCGGGAGGCACCCACGTCTTTGGCTTTGAATGCTTCGTAATCACTAGCAGCGCTTGTCACTCAGGCTCCTGGAGGGGTGACCTTAGCCTAGCAACCGGGGAGAAGGGAGAGGGAGGAAGGCGAGGAGAAGAATGGAGCAGGTGAGGAGGTGAGCAAGGCGGGAAGTCAGCGTTAGGGCGGCTCTGCCCTCCTGAGCTTCGGTCCAAATCCCCTTCACAGGTCCAGCCCAGGCCCGGCAATTAGAAGCACGGGGGAGCAGCTGCCTCTGGTCTGGGCAGCCAGTGCAGGGGCAGGCGGAGCTGGGACGCTGGCTCCCAGAGTCTGAGCGCCCGGAAGACCAGGTGGTTGGTAAGAGGCGCGCCCGTGAGCCTGCAGACACTGCCCGGGGGAGGGTGGTCTTCACCAGGCCCCTCACCTCCACACTGCAGCCCGAGGAAATAAAGCTCCGGGTGGGGATAGTCAGACAAGGATGGGAGAAGTGCTGATGGGGGCTGGGGAGCATCTCGAAGGCTTCGGCTGGAGAGATCTGAGGCAGTTGGCTGGATTTGGTCACTGGGATATTTTACGCAACCAATTCCTCTGGAAGTCAGCTGCCGAAACCTCGTCAGAGAGCACCGAGCACACGGCACACCTCCCCCAGGGACGAGGACACGTGTGCTTGTGGGAACAGCAGAGGGGGGGGGGTGTGTTTTGAGTGGGCTGCGTCTCTGTGTCTCTCTGCTTCTTGCAGCTAATTCAAGGCAGAGGGCCAGATGGTGGCTGTGTTGTGAGTGTTTTGGTGTTTGGTTTTGGTTTCTGTACTGGAGGTTTGGGTGGCCTGGTGCTGGCTCATCCCTGGATGCTGGCGTGCTGGCCCTGCAGTTCCGACCAGATGCACCAGCTCTGGGGCTCACACCAAGCCGGCATCTTTGGCCATGCTGTAGAAGAGACCTCTCTGCTGCAGGAGCTCAGTGGGGGTGCCATACTCCCGAATTTCTCCTTTGTCCAGGACGATCACCCTGTGAAGGGAGTAAAGGGATGCAGATATGAGGGGCAAGGGAGGGTCTGTTGGCACCTCATACCCCCAGGAATCTACCTAAGCAAGTCACTGCATTGGGCCAGGCCCCTAACTCCTGCCAGGACTGTTGCGGCCAATCCTCAATCCCTAGTTCTAGTCCATATCAAAGCCTTGTTGTGTTCACTGTCTCTCTCCATCTCTCACACCCCCAGGTCCCATTAAATTATATGGTCCCTGTGCAGGTGCCTTATCTGACAGGCCCCAGGGCCTGCAACAGGGCCAGGACCACAGTGGGCACGCCACACCTATGTGCCTACCAGCGGATGACTGAGCTATGTCGAAATAACCCAGGACTACCCGGATAAAGAGAGATTCCACCAACTGGGGCTGTCCCCGGGCATAAGGTTGGTATTGAACAAATGACCACATTAATGGGCAACAGGATGGACCCCAAGTTCCGGGGCTTCCATGCCAGGGGCAGCACCTCGTGTAGTCCATGATGGTGTTGAGCCGGTGAGCGATGGTGAGGACCGTGCAGTTCTCAAACTGTGTCCGGATAGCTGACTGAATGAGGTTGTCCATTTCCAGGTCCACTGCCGCTGTGGCCTCGTCCAACACCAGGATCTTCGTCTTCCTCAGCAGGGCGCGGGCCAGGCACACGAGCTGGCGCTGCCCGACGCTGCAGCGGGAGAAAGAGACAAGGAGGCGACGTCAGGACTCAGAGGCTGAGACAGCCAGTCTACGGCAGAGCTGGGACTCGAGTCCAGGCCTGATACAGGGGAGGTAGCTCCGCCAGGGCTTCGACCCCTGCCCACCTTAGGTTCTCCCCGCCTTCTGCACACTCGTGGTTCAGCTTATCCGGAAGGGTGGACACGAAGTCTTTCAGGTGAGCCAGCTCCAGCGAGGTCCAGACGTCCTCGTCCGAGTACTGGTTGAACGGGTCCAAGTTCATGCGGAGGGAACCCGAAAATAAAATGGGGTCCTGTGTAGAGAGGACAGCAAACAGCATGTGAGGCTCACATCATGTGAGACACACGTCAGAAAGGAAATTCTTGCCAGAACTGCTGAAGATGGGACTCCGGGGTTTCTCAGAATTACTATTTCTGGAGATGTTAGTCATGGAAAAAAAAAAAAAAAGTCTGGAAAAACCCTGAGCTAAGTAAATTAAGAGGTTTTTGTTTGCACAGGATTTTTTTTCCCCCAGGGCGTTCAATAGGCAAGCAAGCGGAGAAGCTTCCAGCATGGGCAATCTCTCACTGTAAATTACGAGGCCTCCTCCCTGTGCCCTGCCTCCAGCAGAATCTCAAAACAAATTTTAGGGAAAAATCACACCAAAAGGCAACACATTAGGGGATCACCACCTCCAGGAAGCAGGCTAGAAAAGTGTTTCCTGCCTGGCTCTCGGGAGACCGGAGATGCTCGTCCTGACCTACAGCCAGCAGGGAAGCGTCTCACAGCCGCCCAGAAGCTGCCCGACAGGGTGGCAGGAGAGACGGAATGACACCTGGTTAGTCCCCACTGCCATTTCTGTGCTAAAAGGAGATTCAGTGGAGAACAACACAGCAGAATTTCATTAATTACAACAATGTAAGAGTTTATGTGTGTCCTGGAAATGCACAGGCACCCCCGGGTCCCCACCTGCGGGATGATGGTGATCTTGAAGCGGAGGTCGTGCAGGCCGATCTTGGCGATGTTGATGCCGTCGATAATAATCTCGCCTTTGGCAGACTCCTTGATCCTGAACAAGCCCAGGGTCAGGGAGGATTTCCCAGCTCCTGTCCGGCCTACGATACCAACCTGCGGAAGGGGTGGGCCCAGGATAAGGTGCACATGCTGGAATCTGGCGGTTACCACCTGCTCCCTAGAGCTCTCGTTCCAGGTCTCTGCCCCAGAGCAGTTCAGTCATCTGGTCGACCCAACTCCACCATGACTTCTACCTACCAGCTTCCCAGTGACACCACTGTAGGGACTGTTTTGGCCAAGAGTCAAGAATGACTCCCTTCTCTTGATCAGCTCTTTTTATAAATTAAACTGAGACAAAACTCTTTAATAAACTGGTTGAGCGCTCCCAAAAGAGAGGCATCAGGCAGAAGGGATTTTCAATAAATCCTACTGTTTTCAACTTAAGACACTACTAAGCAATAACTGGGCATCTTCCTCACCCTGTCACCCAGTCCTCTGGTGGTGACTTTCCCATTCCAAGCTGTTAAAATAGCTCGAAGATTCAGGCTGATCCCCCTGGACACTCCTCTCTTCCCCCTCCCTGCTGAGGTCCAAGGTTATGCATATGACCTGGTCTCCACTTTTCCTCTGTTGAGGGATCTGGGCTCCCTAGTTAATGGCCAGTGTCCGCACTCCTGCCCATCAGTGACCACTCTGTCCTTCCCCCCTCGTTGCAAGTTAGTGAAATTATCTCACAGGAATGGAATATTCTGAACTCGTAGTAAGGATGGTTTAACAAAGCCTTATGGTCAGAGATGAAAACGAGCCTCGTCCCCTGGCAAAGGGCCAGAAGACTCTTGCTCTGATTTCTGAGGAGAAGATAAAGGTCTCAGGGCAAGGATGTCTTCCAGGAACAGCTGGGGCCTGGGGGCACGTTCCAAAATTCTGACAATTTCACAAGTCCCTTGAGCCATCCCTGGCATGATGGTAACATCTTTCTATTCTCAATCCTCAAACTGGAATGGCACCGAGAGCCAAGAGGCTCAACACTGAGCGAGGAGGGATGGGGTGATCTGGGAGGCTCACGTCGTGTCTATGAGGAGCCGGGTGGAGACCCAGCATGGCTGGATGTTCTGATCTTTCAAGAAAACTTTGGATTTTTATATCCAAAGTCCCAACAAGCCCCTCCAAAAAAGGCTGCTCCACTCCCTGGCATAGGGTCAGGACTAAGGGTGAAGTGATGTGGCTGGTTGCACCTGCCTGACGGCTCATGGACCTGACTGTGAAGGAGCAGGGGGACAATGTGCACCCACCTTCTCTCCACCATCAATCGTGACGTTGATGTTCTTGAGAACGAAGTCCAGGTCCTCTCGGTAGCGCAGGCCATAGTCCCGGAATTCTACCCGGCCCACCTGGGGCCAGGTGCTGGGGGGAGCCATCTCCTGGATTCGCCATGGAGCCTGAAATCACAGGGGGCAGTGGGGAGGGGAGGGAGAGTAAGGACTCTGACGTCCACCTTATGTGCCGGGGCTCTGTGAGTGGTCCCTGACACCCCCGCTGCCTTCTCGCTTCTTTGCTCCCCACACCGTCCTCCAGCGACTCCGGGCCTTTGCGCTGGTGACTTCTGCCTGACTCACTCTTCCCCAAGCTAGCATGTGCCTGCTCCTCACATCCTGGGGCCTCGGTCAGTCCAGACCTCCCTCCCAGCTGTGTCCTGCTCCTCCACTTCCCACCTTCTGACATTCTAAATGCACATCTGTGTATGCTGCCACCAGTGCCCACTGCAACAGTCATTCCATGAGGAATTCATGGGCAAATGAATGAGTGGTCTCCTCAAGACAGACCCAGGGTAAAGGTGAGAGAACCTGCCAACCTTCCAGGTCTGGAGGGCGCCAGCCATAACAGCAGCGAACCCTAAGAGCTCACTCCTCACCTCATTGATCGTCACTACGATCCTATGAGCACAGGATCAGCCCTTTACCACCCGCAGGTCGCACACAGGAAAAGATGCAGCAAGGCAATGCCACCGGCCAGGGCAGCGCAGCCCCCACTTCAGGTGTGCTTCGTAGCTCAGCTCAGCCTTTCTCGAGGTCTAGGACTAGTCCAGGGCTGGATGTGGGGGCTGCAGCCCCAGAGAATTTGCGGGGTGGGCGCCAGGGGGTGGGTGCACGCAGACTCCGAGCCTGGCTGCAGTGTGGTGGGCACCTTTCCGGGTCAGCACGCAGCAAAAACTTGACCCTCGTTTCGGAAGCTCTCAAATACCAGAGCTGTGGTTGAGTGCTTCAAGGGAGAGGGCCCTGTGTGACGAGCGGTGCTGGATTATCTCCTCTGAGTGTCATGCACCCCGAGAGCCAGAAGCTGCTGTCACATGGAGATGTGAAGCTGCCTCGGCCTCCAGTGTGGGTAAGGAGCAAAGGGGCTCCCACGGGACCACCGGCAGGTCCCACCTTAGCTTAAAAGGAAAAAAAAAATTAGGGCAGAGATGTGCATGGGTCTGAGGTAAGAGAAGTGTGTGAACACGCACAGGAAGGGCCTGGGGAGACTAGAGACTGTCCTTGGAGACAGTGAGAAGACTTTCACTCCTGCTCATAAAGTCCTTGATCAATCTTCTTTCAACAATCTTCTTTCCCTTCTGTAACTACATGTACACAAATGCTGTAAGAGCACAGGACTGCAGAGAAGGGGGTGGGTTGCGATCTTTCTATATAAACAAATAAATACATATTTTTAGCTGTGGGAGGGCTCTGGGGATCTTTGGCTCGCATTTTTCATATATGCTTTCATTCTAAAAATATAAAATTAATTGAAATGTTTTTTTTTAAAAATTGTGAAGTTCATACTTAAAATGGATAAACTGCAGGATGTGTGAAGTCTATCTCAAAAGTTACAATAAAAAAGAAATTCAATGCCGAGTACAGGCCTCCTGGGGCAATTCACTCTTGTTTAGCCAGGGGGCGCTCACGCCATTCTGGATAATGCTCTCCCATGCACCGGGGCCTGGCTCAAGAGCACTCAAGGACTGGGCAGAGGGGAGCTGGATAAATCCCTACGCAGAGCTTAAGTGGGGCCGCTCATTTCCAGGGGGCATTTCCTTGGGAGCCAGGAGGGCACAATGGCACAGCGCCCAATCCTGGGTTGTCATTTAGTAAGTTGTGTGATGCTGGCAAGTAACTTAACCTCTCTGTGCCTCAGCTTCCTCAACTATAAAATGGGGGTAATGGCAACAATGTGAGTTATAAGGCCCATTAGCATTCAGTGAACTGTTTCACGTAGGATGTTAAGGTCAAGGCCAACCGCCACAAGGACACAACATGAGTCCCTGCTATCACCGGGACGGGGATTGTCTCCAGGCACTGGTGTGGCATAGGGACTGTCACTTATTCCTGGTGGTGGTTTGCAGGCAGAATGAGGCAGCTTTGAGGGGCCATGTGGCACTGAAGCAGAGACATGGGTCCTACTGGGCTCAAGTCACATGAGCACACTTTTAGCTCAAGCCTAAAAGGTATACTTTTCCTCCACTGTAAAACGGGGCCTTGGGCTAACCACACGGTTTTCCAAACTTTGGTCAAGTCCTTGTCAGTCTCTTGATTCCTGAAATCTCCATGTGCTGATTCTCTTGTTATTACTGACTTTTAATCAGCTTGCTGGTACTTAATGTTAAGCTTACTCAAAGAAGAAATTAGTCTCATTTTCCATAACAGAAACCCCCATAAACGTACTGGACAAATAACAGAAGACTTGTTTTAGAGAGAGGTTGCCTGTTGAAGGCTCTGAGCCTGAGGGCTACTTGAGTCTGCTGAAGGGCGTTCAAGTGCTAGTGAGCACCAAGCCAAGGCGCTGTCTGTGATGGCATCTAAAGGCATGCAGGAGAGTTAGAAGAGGGACAACTTCCTCGCCACTGTTCAAATGTCCTGACGGCACAGTCATTTTGTATCTGGGCATCCCCAATCTTGGGGAGAGCCGGGATAATGAAACTACTTTCTCTCCCTAAAACCAGTGATTCTAAGCAGGTGCTGCTGTGTGAAATCCAACGGATCCTTCCAATCGGAGGCAGAGGATAGACATGGTATGGCTCAGAGCATTCTTGGGAGTAAAGCAACACTGAAGATCAAGGCCAAGAGGTCAGGCTCGCTTTACCTCTTTCTCAGTTTCTGAATACTCCTTGAGTCTCTCCACGGCCACTATGTTGGTCTCCATCTCAGAAGACATCCGAACAAGCCAGTTCAAGTACGTCGTGATCTGGAAGTGCAAGAGTCACAGGAAGTGCTAGTGTGAGAGTGAGTTACTGTATTTTAATGAGGGAATTATGACTTGTGAAACTCTTCAGATAAGAAAGGTGCAGAGGACAGCAACTCCACTTTGCAGTCATCACCCAGACTTGCTACACTCCATCTCTTAAGCAAACTCCACATTTCAAAATGACCCATGGGCGACACAAGTAATCAGAAAGGAAATCGGAAAGTGTCTGAGCCTGATGACCATGGGAAAACATAGTGTCAAGAGTTGGGAGATGCAGCCAAAGCAGAACTGAAGAGGGCCATTTATAGCATTACAAGCATTTCTCATTGTTGGAGGCATCACAGGCTATTAAGTATTAAGGACTTTCCTTGATTGACAGGAGAACCCCAGCCACATGTCTAACTTCTCTCCTGCGCCAGTCACTCACTGAGCTCTAGACCTGCTCCCCAAACTCCACTTGGCCCCTTTCCTCTCCACCCTCCCACAGGGATTCAAAGTAGGGATTCAAAGCAAGGGATCCTAGCACTTCACTAGTTCTCCCGTTGAAAAATCAAACAACCAAGGAAGAGCTTGCCCCCTTACCTGCAAAGAGTAGGACACCGAGAGGCCCACCAGGCCTGGACTGAGGCTGTCCCGGGAGATCATGGCAAACAGGGCCGCAAACAGGACAATGCAGTTGCCCACACACTCCAGCCGCACCGCAAGCCACCTGCACAGAGACACAGAGGCAGATGAAGGGCGGACAGATGAACATGAACATGGACACGGACACACACACACACACACACACCCACACACACACCCCACACACACCCCCAGGCTGAGCTTTTCAGATTGGCTTCTGGTTCAGGGTGTGGGGGGACAGGGAGCACTTGGCGAACTGAAATGACTTCCCAGCCCTGTTCATTGAATGCGCGGGAAGGAGGCCCAAACGGGTATGGTTTCAGTAATTCCTTCTACATTTGGCAACCCCAGGGATTAAGAGTTCTGAAGCAATCTTCCCAGGAATCTGAGGCTTGCCCTTCCTAACAACCAACTTTTCTCACTGAAACCTTTAGGATAAACCCACATATGCATTTTTTAACAAGAGGTCCCAGGAAATTCCTAAATACTGAAAGTCTTCAACTGGAAGAGGCTTTAAAATAATCTCCTCTTGGCAGGAGAGAAGTGGGGGAGTGAGAACTAAACTACTATTTGAGATGGAGCCATGATAGTCCCGACCCAGCTCACCCTGTTTCAGCAACTACCTTACTGAATCTTTTGCAATGCAAACAGATGACTTCATTGGTTTAGAGCTAACTTTCTAGAGCATTCACAATGCCATTTTCATGCTTTACAATGTAAAGCCTCACAGGGGATTGGTATCATCAACCCTAAAAATCCACGTGGCTGGTTTTCTTGAATGGAAGCTACTCCGCCACAAGGAACCCCTAGCAATTCTGCAAGGGCAGGCAAGGGCCCCAGTAATTCAGTCTCCCCCACATTGAGTCTCATGCTAAGGTCACCTCCAGGGTGCTATTACCCCCTCCTCCAGGTTTTCTAGTCCATCTCTCCAAAAATGTGTCAGGATGCAAGCAAGACAGGACAATATTTGGGGGTTAAATGAGACACTTTCCCAATTTCAGTCAATTAGCAAATTTTTGCCCACTCCCCCCACCTGCCCGTTTTGATTAATGCTATGCAACTATTCTTGATCCCTTAAAGGACAATCCCACAGGGTTCAACCTAATACTAGGAAACTGCTTTCAACTTCATTCCATGGGGGGGTGCTAGGCCCTTGGCTGAGAATTACCTGACTCCAGAAGGACTCGGCCCTGCACCCAAGGCCCCCAGAGCTACGCACTTACAGGGCTCCTGCCTACCTGTCAAGGTCACCTGTGCTTCCTCTCGCCAGGTCTCGCCCTCCTCTCTGGGAAGGACTAAGTCTGGCTTCACACCCTCTTCCAGGAAGAAGGCCCATAGAAGAAATCAGGGCAGAGGGACGAGGCGCTAGGAGTAAGGAGTAAGAAGGCCTCCTGAGCCCTTGGGCCTAGATGCCCACCTGTTGGCCACGATGCTGGGGTAATAGGCCTTCTGGTTCTCGTCCACCTTCAGGTCACTCTGGCGGATGAAGCGCTCCTGCTCCTCAAAGGCACGGATGACACTGACCCCCAGCAGGGTCTCGTTGAAGTGGGAGTAAACCGGGGAGCGGCTGACCGACTCGAGACGCTTCAGCTGCCGGGAGGAGGCCACGTAGAACCTCTGGGGGGTGAAGAACGGAGGGGGTTGGCGGGGCTACCTCATCCCATTCTCCTCCCAGCACTGTGCTGGAGTTGAAATGTGGGCCCTCTCCTGGTGAACTGCAGGCACAGAAGCGGGGCAACAGCAGCACCATGGCCATAGCTAATTCGTGGCCAACACTCGCACACAGCCCAGCCCCCAGCCACAGTCACAGGCACTAGAAGGTGTTATAAGCTCGCTGGATCCTCACAATACACCTACAAGGTGCGTATTCCAATTTTCAGGACAGCTGAGCGAAAGCACAAAGGAGCTGAACCCCCGCCTAGGGTCACGTGGCCGGGGAGTAGAGGGAGCTGGGACTCGAACCAGCAGTCTGGCCAGAGGGCCACCTTCTGCTCTGACCACTTCTGGGAAGACATTGGCCTTACGGTTTTATGGCTCCAGCCTTGAGGCTCTAGGTGCAACCAGACCTCAGTTCAAACCTGACTCCACCTGTCCCTGGGTGCAAAGACCACATCTGCTCTGCTCCATCCCCACCAGGGCACTCAGCCAGCGCCAGGCTCACACAGCCGCTTGACAAACACTCGTTGGAACAAAAGCAAATCACGAATCACCCACTGGAAGCTTCAAGGAGCCGTGAATGGACACTGGCTGGCCACCTGAGGTTACACGGGTTTTCTGGGTCTCCATTTCTTCAGCTGTGCAAAGTAACCGATGAGACGGGCCTCCCTGCCCCAGGCGTGCTAGACAGTGGACAGGAGGCTGGCTTGGAAGTGGCAGTTGGACAATGAACAAGGGCTGGTCAGGACACAACCTCCCTGCCTCCTGCCCTGCCTCACACCCTGGGTCCTTCGGGGGCAGAGGCCTGCCACAGAACATAAGGGGTGGCTCTAATCTCTGATGGGGCCCCAGAGGACGGCAGCTTCTTCAATGAACTGCGGCTCACACAGTAACCTGAACCCACAGTTGGCTAGCCATCTGGGGCCCCAGAAACTCGGGCTGTTAACCCAGGGACCATGCCAACCTGGGCAGTCACTCAGCAGCTGCCTGGCAATTCCCTGAAGGTGGGTCAGATGACATGGCTCCTCCAGGACTCCTGCGCCTTGAATGAAGCCCAGGCCTCACCGGCCACCCCACCTCCCTCGACTGATCAACTCTCACGAGCTTTCTTGGTAAACACACAGAGAGCTGACTCACATGGCACAGCAGACCTCTCCTGCTCCCCTCAGCAGTATATTTAAGTAGATCCGCCTGTTCTGCTCCCCACTCCATCTCTGGTGAATCCTCTCACCCCCACCCCCCTGCACCACTGGCCTACACCCCAGTTCTTCTACACATAAGTAAAATCTTTAAAAAAAAAAAAAGTTAAAATAAGAATGTATACAAAATAAAAAAAAATTGGGGGGATATAGAAGATCAAATAAAAATGACATTAAGTCAATGATCCTAAGGAATATCAGTGCGTTTTCCAAAAAGAAAGGGCGGGTATGCCCACACCCATACATACAGATATCTAAGAGCCGCTTTGAAAGCCACTCTTCATTTATTTATAGGAATCGAATTGGTTTTATTAAATGGTTCAGGGATAAGGCCGCATCCCCCGAGGCAAGCAGAAAGGTACTTTTCCATTGAGATGGAACCATTCACAGGGAAGGGCACTAAGTCTTAACAGCTCAACTAGTATTACACTGATCTGTACTGGCATCACCCGACCACAATCTAGAACATTCCCAGCACCCCAGAAAACCCCCCTTCTCGCCTCTACTCTGACTTCTATCAGCTCATCACACATTCCTGGTTGTGAACTTCATTTAAATGGAGACACACACTTTGGGCTCAGTGTCCGCCTTCTTCGTTCAACAGTTTGTGGTTCATCGAGCCACAGTGTGTGTCAGCAGTTCACTTGCTTTATTGCTGAGTCATCGCTAATGTTAAATACGTCAGCACGTAGTCACCCACTCCCTTACAGCGGGTGTTTGGGCTGTCTCTAGTTTGAGGCTATATGAATCAAGAGACTAAGAATGTTCTAGCGTGCCCTAGCCCCACTTTTTTTTTTCTGTATATATTCTCTCATGTCTTTCCCATACACACTAAGGGGTTATATTTAACTAAAATATATTTAACTAAAAACCCTTAAAACAATAAACTCTCCCATAACCCCAGCTCTTAGAAAGGTAACATTTTCCTTTTTCTGCAAGACTCCCTTTGCAATTCTGCTCCCTCACCTTCTGCATTTCATCTTAGTTCTAATGACACGGTCCTTGGCTAAACTTCATTCCTTTGTTGTTTAGAAATAAAATGGCTGGGGCTACAGTGTCTTCCTAATTACCTTGTTAAAGGTACCTAAGGTCATGGCCATGGCATGTTATTTAAGCACCAGGGACAGATATTCAAGCTCCCCTGAATGCAGCATTTAGCCTGTTTTGTTCTTGTGAATTGGGTCCTCCAGGAAAATTTTCAGTCATGGTATGGACACAGATAACATTTTTGACAAACACAGCCAGATGACTTTCCCAAGGAACTGATGCCAATTAAAAGAATGTCCAATGGGCTCTAGGAACTGGACCTGCTCTCTCTGACTCCACCTTTGTCTACACTCACTAAACACTGGGCCAAGTGTGGTGCATTCTGGGGATTGACTGAGTACACCAAGACTTTCTGCACCCCATATGGACGGGTCAGTGTGATCTGAAATACAAAGTACTTTGTGGTTTCTGATTCTTGTTTTGCATTGCAGTCATTATGCTCTGTTGGAGGTGGCCACCCTGCGTAGTGAGCAGAAGGGCCTTGACCCAAGTCTCTAAGGCATGTGAAAACACATGCGTCTCGGAGGAAAACCTCTGGGTGACAGGACTTGGTGTTGAGAGCCTGGAAGTGAACTGCGTACATCTCCACAGTTTGAGAACAACAAAATAATGAGCGAACTTCCCAGGCTCTGGCTAGGAGGCGATAAGATTATGTGTGTGAGAACTAACCACCTGGTACCCTACTGTCTGAAGTAAACAGATAATAGTAAGAAAATAGACTAATCACAATACATGTTATCATTATGTGGTATGCTTTGATGTTACACCTGCTGCAATTAAAATAGTATATAATGAGCACTAAGACAATAAAGATTTGCTGCATGCTGGACATGACAGTCCCCCATGTCTGATTTCCTTCACCGTCGCGTCCCAGGTTCGGACTCACTAGAAGTCCACAAAGCTCCCATCTGAACAAGTCTCCCCCACTCACAAATGTGCTACAGCTAACCTTTTAAGGGCAAGAAGGAACAGTACAGCACAACGGTTACCCACACAAGGTTTGGGGTCAGAGAGGTGAACTCACACTCCCAGGTTCAACATCTTCATCTAGCTATCAACTGGAGACATGATCTATGCGGGAATAAGATCTATGCGGGAAGAACCTAAGAAACCACAGTTGATGCTGACTCAGCTATCATATTTTCCCATGCCCTGTTCCCCTTCCTCAGTCTTGTTTTCTGAAATACAGTTGTGATGGCTGGAGATCCAGTAGCCGTCTTGGACCATCAGACCCACTCAAGAATGGAAGGCTTAATGCAAAGATCAGAGGAAAAAAAGCAATGAAGGCTCCTGGGATATTAATGAACTCATGGAGCTGCCACATCAGCCCTGAATGGCCTGCCTCTAAATTTCTATTATGAAGAAGAAAACTAAATGTCTATCTTGGGTAAGCTGCTGTTATTCATGTCTCTATGATCTGCAGGGCAGGGGACTAGGACATAAAACATTTCATATTTAAAGAAATATGACTAATAAAGGTTTCTTTTCAAACAAAGCTTACTTTTCCTTTCATAAAATATAGTTACTAAAACAACCATTAGGAAAAAAAGGACACTGGATTATCGCAAGCTAAAAATAATCAGTGTAGGGATCCTAAACTGATAAAACAAAACCAACCCTCTCCTAGCAAACCCTCAACAGCTCCACTCGGGGGAAATAATGAGTGAAGTGAGTCTTCTGTCACATGGAGGCACAGCACACACTCCTGGACACCAGACCCTACCTCTTACCTGGACGAAGAAGTACATGAGGCCCAGGGGCGGGATGACAACTGCAATCATGGGCGTGGCCAGCAGGATGATGATGCAGGCGCCGATGACGTTGAACAGAGAGCCCATGAACATCTTGATGACCTGCGGGATCATCGAGTCCACCGTGTCCATCTCCTTGGAGAAGCGGTTCACCAGGTTACCACTGGGGGTCCGCTCGAAGAAGCTCATGGGTGAACGGAGGACATTATTCAGCAGGTCCAGGTGCAGGTGGCGGGAGGCGAAGATCCCCCCAATGGACACTGCCATGGAGTAGCCAAACACCGCAACACCTGCAAACACTCTCTGGTTAATTCCACAGTGGAAGATGGGCCAAGCTGGGGGCAGGGATGAGGGGTGATGGGGCCATGTGAACAAAACGGGGCTGGACCCCCACCTTCTAATGGCAATCATGGAAACAGTGGTGGCTGTTCTTTATTGTGCTTGTACTATGTGCTAGAATTTTCTAGATATCCAAACCTTTCTACCACTCTGGGTAAGTTCTATCACTACCCAGTTTACAGTCGAGGAAGCTCAGAGGGGCAGATTCCTCTGCACTCTTCTAGCCAGGGCCCAGGCAGCCTGGGCCGGGTCCTGCTCTCCATCTGCCTGCCACAGTCCCTGAGACCAGTGCTGCGCAGCAGAGCTTGCTGTGACAACGGAAATGTTCTGTCCCTGTGCCTTCCTGTATGTGGCCACCAGACACATACGGCAACAGAGCATCTGTAAGGTGGCTAGTGCCACTGAGTAACTGCATTTCATTTTAATAAGCCACTGCTTATTAAATATAAATGGCCACCACTGACAAGTGGCACCATATGGACAGCACAGCTCTGCTCTAGAATAGACCCCACTGCTGTGGGGGTCCAGGTAAACATTGCACCCTTTCTGTATACCCCCTTCCTTTAAGTATACTTTGGAGACTACCATACCTTGCCCTGTGAGCAGAGAGTCTAAAAAAGTTAAGAAATCCACGTCTGCTCCTCTGTTTTCGTTTTCCAAAGTCACCCCCTGAAGATCATGAGACAGCTGTGCTCCTGCTAACGACCCACACTGGGATGCCCATTCTTTGCAGAGATTTCATGGGGAATGAGAAGCACCTTAATCAAGGAATCAAGCATCTTAATCAAGAGGTGGGGACTAAAACAATAGGCTCTAGAGCCAACACTGCCAAATCCTGCCATTTACCAGTTATGGGACCTTCCACCAGGCACTAAACTTCTAGGCACCTCGGTTTCCCCATCTGGAAATTGGGATGGTATCTTGCAGCCCTGCTGGAGGTAAAGGACCTGCAGGCAATGTGCTTGGTGCACAGGCAGTGCCCACAGACATCAAACGCATGCAGTGATACACGCCAGTGCATCCTAGACACCAAACACACGCGAGCATGTGTGCAGGGGAACACGGAGTTATGAGCACGTGAACACACAGCTCATGTCCTGTGAAGCATGGTGGGGAAGAGTGTGGGTCCCTGATCAGACGGCCTCATTGAATGCCAACTCTGCCGTGTGTAACTGTGGGCAACTCACTTAACCTCTCTGGGCTTCAGTTTCTGCATCTTTAAAATGTGCAAAACATGAACTCCTACCTCCTGCGATTGCTGCAAAGTTAAAACACCTAAAACTGTTTCTGGACAGGATGAGGCACCAAGCTGGTGCTCAGGACACAGCAGCTATTCCTGTTAATGCTGCACATGAGGGACTTCACAGGCACATGGCAGGGTTTTTCAGCCTCTTGACTAGCAGAGGTCATCTATTGCCGTGGGGGTGGCGCCGTGCAATGCAGAATGTTTAGCAATGTCCCCTAGCTGCCCGCAGCACCCGCCTCAGCTTGTGATGACTGAAAGCATCTGCAGACATTGCTAAATGTCCCTGGGGGCAGTGCTGGACCTACTAGTGTGAACTAAGTTCCAGCCTCAGACATCAGGGAGAAGTCCACAAATGAGACGTCACAGAAGCCCCATCACCCGACGGAGAGAGGGTCCTTGCTCACTAACGTGCCAGGCAACCTGTTTCTCAATGTTCCTCATCTGTAAAATGGGTGCACTGGGCCCGCCTCCCCTGCCCCCTTATCTCTGGGGGCTACATGAAACACAGTATTCATTCCACACACATCTGAATGTTTACCACATCATGGGTATCATTCATGTGAGTTAGGCTCGGTTTGGGGGACCCCTAAAGCCCTGACAAGTGGGGAGACCCAATTCGGTCATGAGACCCAGAACCGGTTCCAAGTGCCCCAAGCAGGTGGACGGGGAGGCCACAGAGGGGAGGTCCCCACCTTGCGAAATGCCCAGGGCTCCAAACACGCTCAGCCGGACTTTAGTGTGCTGCTGGGTCCCATTGACGATGGGGTCGTCGGTCCAGAGGCTGAGCCAATAGTGCGAGGCCAGGGCGGCCACGTGGTTGCACAAGAAAAGGAAGATGCTGAGAAAGGAGATGAACAGTCCGATTGCCTTCATGTAGTCCCAGTACACGGAGAGCTTGACCTGGACGCCGGAAGAGGAGGTGGTGTATAGGACGCACCCCGCCCAGGGACTCCCACAGCGCCCACCCCACCAGGGCCCCCAATCCTTGCCCACACCTGTCACCCCCACCCAATTCTGCCATAAGGAAGCAGCAGGAAAGTCAAGGCCTCTGTCCTCGTGGAGTCGAGTGGCTCTTCTCAAATCAGAGCTCAGGCAACAAACGTGCCACTTCTGAGCTGCCGCCTGGAATGGCTGGGGCAGCCTGGACGGGCTTGGACAGGCAGAGTTCGAGACCGCCTCCCCACTGACCAAATCACAAGGGCTGAGAGCAGTGACAAAGATTTTTTTCTGACTGTGTCTTTTTTCTATGTCATTTAGCCTGTGTCTGTGGCAGCCCGAAGCCACGTCGTGTGGTGGGGAGCCCTCGCTGGGACCGCCCTGTCCTGCTCCAGGAGGCAGGGACTGCAAATGCTCTCCCTGGAGTCCCACCAAAGGGCTCAAGCCCTCACCTGCCGCTCCACGGCTGCAACCCTGGGCATCACCCAGGCTCATTTAAACATTTAAAAAGCACCCTGCAGAGGGCCCTCGTTTTGGAAGGCGGCCCTCACCTGGCCTGTCTGAGCCTTGTCCGCCTCCATCAGCTTCCAGGTCTCCTCCTTCTTGGCCCCATCCTTCTGCAGCTCGGATGTGCTGTTGTGGTGCCGGGTGACATCCCCGCTGTAGGAGGAGGAGTTGCTGAGCTGTCTGGGGAAAGCCAGGCAGAGGGTGTCAGGTGGAGGCCTCGGGAAGGCTGGAGGCCCTCACCAAGCACCCAGCAGTGCAGTCTTCTGCATTTACCCAGAGAGAGGAGGGTTTGTTCCAGGGCCCACAGAAGATCTGCTCCTTCAAGGAGATATTAAGAGCATTTCTTGCTCCCCTGGTCACCGGCTTTACAGAGACCATTACAGATGAGCACACAGCACATGGCTCAGCACGTAAGCATCTCCCAGAGGCAGCCCCTTTCCCAGGGACTTGTGAGCTCGGGGAACAAAGTGTGTATGCATACATGTGTGTATGTTCCCTCTCTGTGTGCTGTGTCCTCTGTGTATGTGTGCACGTGTTTGTATGTATGTCTCTATGTGTCTGTGTGTGTGTGTGCGTGTGTGTGTTGTTGGGCAGATCCACACCATGTAGGGAACTTGAGAGCCAGACATGCAGACAGAGGGCTGAACCATGAGGCCAGCATGAGACGTGCCACTTGGCGGGAACAGGGCCTCGAAGCTCTGCCAAGTGAGGTTCCCAAGAATTCCGGAGGGAGGCAGAGAGCCATTGCCATCTGTGACCCTGGGGAGCTGAAGGCCTTCAGGGTGGGTTGAACCTGGCTGCTATTACCTGGTAACCTGCTCTGATCCCCCAGGCAGGGGACACACCCAGAGCTGGGGGAATCCTTAGGACGAGGCCTCCCTCCCTGCCTCACCTCTGCAGCTGCTTCCCAGAGGTATCCGTCACCAGCATGCCATTCTCCATTTGCTTTGCCTCCTTCCCTGGACCACTGATGCCTGCTGACACGGCCAAAGAGAGAGAAAGGGGAATCATGGTTTCAAGAGCCAGACACCAAAGCCAAGATGAGGATAACTGGTCCCTTTTGGGAGGAGATAGCAGATAACCCGGCCACCAGGAAGCTCAAGGCCAGTCAAGGCCAGATTTGCTGGGGGCATGCGCAGGCTCCTGGCTGCGGTGCAGGAGCTCTCTGGAGCGAGCTCCCTTGGGGAGATCCATTTTGAGGGCCCCATCAGTGGAGCACACGGGGCTTGAGCAGGTGTTCCGTGCCAGCTGCAGAGGGTGAAACCCAGCTCAGGCAATGACATGTCTGTGAGGTGAGCTCGGGCGCAAGGGCCAGGGTGAAGGGAATTATGCAGGGGAAAAAGCAGGTGGTCCCCAGGCACCCTACGCAGGGATAACTAACAACCAGATCTGACAAGGGCATTAGCCAACAGGAGGTGTCTCAGAGCCTCCCCAGCAGGGACAGGAGTTAACCCTTTGGTGACCAGATCACAGGGGATCCAGATGGTCCAGGGCAGGGGGCACCTGCGGCAGGGGCTGTGCCCAGCCATAAGGAAGCATTTCAGTATTTCAATGACTAGGCTACCCTAGCCAGGAATCTGCCCTGACCCCAGCGAATGTTTACCAGCACCAGGGCCGTAACCTCAACCACGAAGGTGGCAGTATTTATTGGCGCTGGCTGCTGTACTGTGTTGACATATATTATCACCTTCAATATCCCCAGCATCTCAGGGACACGTTATCATTAGTCCCACTCTGCACTCATGTCCTCAGTCTTTGCCTTCATGAGAGAGAGAAGCAGAAGGAGGGCTCCTTCTGAGGGTGACCCCAGGAGAGAAGTCAGGAAACACAGCTGGGGTGACCCGGGGAACATGCTGATGAAACAAGGTTTAAAGCAGAAGCAAGGAGGAGCCACGGGAGGAACAGAAGGCTGAAGGGGCTGGGGTGGGCCCACGGCTGGGCCGACCAGAGGAGCTCCGAGCTGCTGATTCTCTATCTCGACTGGGAACCAGTGACCTGGGGACGCCCAGACCTAGCGCTGGCCACTACCGTGACTCTGTCGGGAAGGCCGGGCCCCCATGCTGAAAGCAGTCAGGTAACTGGTGGATGACAGACAGGAGGTGTTCCCTAACTTCCCAGCTGTGTGTCCCAGGAGGTGTGGGCAACACTCAGGTAGGAGCTCAGGATGTGGGAGACATCACTGTCCACCTGCATTTTTAAACGTATTTCACAGGTGATTCTGAGGCTCAGCCAGGACTGAGAATCACTGCTTTAAACACTTCCTGTAATGTCCGCATCCTTCTATTATTAACTAAAAAAAAAAAAAAAAAAAAAAAACACTAAACCAAACAAACAAAGAAAAAGTAGTACAAACAGAACTCTCCATGCAGCCAGGGCTCATGCACATGAAAAGCACTAGGAAGCTGGGCCTAGCCTTGACCTTTTCTCTGATGCTTAAAAACACTCCCAAGACACCTGTCCCATGAGTGGGTACCCCAGAGAGCCCCTGTCTCTCTGGGGGCCCCAGCCTTCTCCTGCTGCTCACTCAGCACAAGCCCCCCACAGTGGCCTCGTGTGACGGCTCTCTCTCCTCCACCCAGCAGCCCCCAGGGCCATGTGCCAACTGGGGAAGTTGGAAAATTCTTCCCTGCAAGGGGAGAGCTGAGTCCTAGGAGGGTAACATGAAGATGGGGTGCCCACACCCCTCTTCCTAGTCTTAGCAAATGCTTCTGCCAGGGCTCCCCAGGCTCCCCTAAGCCCAGGGGAAACCTAACCAAGATGGCCCATGAGAACCCCTTCCCCTGGAATCTGGCTGGACAAGGACCAAAGACAGTCCAGTCCGTCTGCCCTAAAGGGATCTGACTCCCTGAGTTCCCCTGTCCTGAGTCTGTGTATCCAGTTCTGGCTTAGATTTCTGAGCTCCCTGGTATCCTCCTGGTAAACAGCCTTGTGTTCTAAGTGGCCAGGGTGGGCTTCTGTGGTTCCCAAAGACTCCTGTCTGGACCCCCAGCCACACACTGCTGGGTGTGGAAGGTAGGATGGGAGGGTCCCTCCAGTACCACCTGATGCCTTTACGTGGTTGGAGGGAGACAGGGCAGCCTTGCCCGCTGGAATCCTGCCAGACCACATCTGGTTCCTGGCCTCCCAAGTTTACCCCATCCAGGGCCCAAACCCCTGCACAGGTCTCACCTGCGCCCAGGAGGTATGGGTGCTACTGTAATAATCAGACTCTTGCCATTGATCGCCTGTCATCCTCCACCCGCTGCGTGCCAGCATTTTTGCTATCAGGACCTCTTTTGAGTATGCTTGTCACAGTAAATTTGTCTCTGAGACAGTGAAATTTAGCCGAGGTCACCCAACTGACAAGAGAGAGCTGGAAACTCAAACTGAATCCCCCAGGGCCGACCACAAAGCCTGGCACAGAGCAGGTGCCCCTGAAATGCTGGCTAACCAACAGAAGAGGGTGGAAAGGCAGGCACTCAAGGCTCCCTTCCCAGGCATGCACAGTCCGCCTAGAGTCTTGTTCTATAAGCAAGGCTAGTTCTAACCCAGGTGCCACTGACCTTCGTCCTCCTGGTCCACCACTTTGCCACCTGGGAATTCACAAGATCCAAAAAAGTGTTCAGAACCAGGACAAAACATGCCCCTTTTCCAAGCTCCAAGTTAAATAACCAAAGGGAAAGGATGGGATGGCTTCTCTTAAGGGGGAGAGGGAGGGTTGGCTATGGGGCCTGCTGCATCTGTGCCTCAGTCGCCCCAGCCAGCCCCTGGATCCCTGGCAAGTGCTCTGCATGAGACCAGCCCCTTTCTCAGAAAGTCATTAACTCTTAAGTGTTTGAAGAGAAATAGAGCTAGGAAAATGCAGGCCTGCCTTCTGTCTCGACACCCGCTTCCAGAACAGCAGAAGGAAGGGAAGAAGGAATTGCAGTGGGTGGACAAGGCAGCTGGGACACAGCATGGGCCTCGGTTCCAGTCCTTAGCCTCCAGCCCAAGGACAGACGTTACCCACGAGATGGGGTTGGGTTCCCTGGAGCTTAGCTCTAAGCCGGCTAGACAAGGACTGGAGAAAAGGGGGAGAGGAGGTAACCTGGTGCAGCTATCCCCTTGGGCCCTCCCCAGGATGTCACCCCTTCTCAGGGGTCTCATAGGCCCCACCCCCAAGAGGTTCAACATCGTGCTGTCCTTGATTATTGCACGTTTGTCTCCTCCATCAGACTGTGAGTTCTTGAGATCAGAGATTAGGTCTTATCCACCACCCTATTTTTAGCATATGGTGCTCAGCTGGCCACGTGGGATTGCACAGGATGTGCACTGCACAGTTCCAAACAGCAGCTTAAGTACCAGGTGTCCCCAGGCACACTGCAGGTGCTCAGGACACACCTGCCAGGCAGATAGACAGATACCAAGTGAACAGTCCAGAAGACAAACAGAGCTGACCTTCCACTGCTGGGGGGATGGGGGGACAGACTGGAACCTACCACAAAGCTGGTCTCTAAACCAGCCTGGAGAGAAACGGGTACAACCGGGGTACGTTTTCTCCTCATCTCGGGGATTTGTGCTGTGGTGCATGAGTCCAAAGCCCACAGACCTATCAGATGCTCTCACATGGCGCGGCTAAAACAACCAAGGTGTGGTTCATTCACTGACGTATCTGAGGCATTTACTGAATGTCTACTCTGTGCCATGCACTGTTCTCAGCCCTGGGGGCACAGAGGTGACCAAAGTGCCCTCTTGGAGCTAACTCCCAAGGGGGAGAGAGAGCAACAATAAACAAATTAGCAGATCCAGAATTCACTGCCAGGCAGTCCTAACTGTTAAAAGGAGAGTAAGGCTGGGTGAGGGGAAGACAGTGACAGGCAGGGGAGAGGAAATGCTATAAAAGACTAATTTTCTTTTAAGCAAAGACACAAAAGATATAATTCAATGCATGTTCTAAGTGCTTCCAAGGACCAGATGTGGGCTGTGAGGCTGACCCACCAGCCACCACCTGCCCTTGAGCCACAGGAGTGCTGCCTGGGCTTGGCGTTCAGCCTGCCAGGGGCCCGTAACGTTGGTACCTAGAGGCTCCCTGCTTCTTCTCAAGACGGTTCTGGAACTCTGCTTGGGTGAGGGCCAGCAGGCAAGCCTCCCTTGAGGGAAGAATCCACGTCGCTGCTTTACAGTCAACGCCTCATTTTTTGACCAAAAACGGAATTGATCAGCTGTATCACCCAACCCGAAAGTTCTTCATACTCAAAAGAGGAAAAAATCTGGCCACTGAGGGCAGCCGAAAGGAATGTGCTGTCTGAGGGACGGGCTCTCCAGCAGCTGCTCAGCGCTGGGGACGGGTTTCTGTCATGTGGGGAGGCGCTTGTGACCCGCGTTAAGACAAAGAGGAAGGGGAGGAGGATGAAGAGCACCCTGCGTGGCCTCCTACTTTGGTCGGGGAAGGCGGAGGAGAGAGCAGGAGGCGGAAGAGAGGTCAAACTCCAACTTGGGTGGGGGGCAACCCCTAGGGGTGGGAGACAGCAGGACGCTCCTCCTGCTGGTTCTCGGCACTTCCCTGCAGTGCGCAACTGTCTGCAAGGAGCTCGTGGTGATTTAACAATTAGTAAGGAAAAATGGGCAACACACTGAAAAAAGGGAAAAAACTAGTCACAAGGTTCGCACACGCACACGCATGCACACGCACAGGACGGCTCGAGCGAGGTTCCGAAAAGCAGCCGTGTTGGAGGAACTGGGTCTTGCCCCCCAGGTGACCAGGGGACAACCTGGCAGAGAAGAGCCCAAATACACGGGGTTCTCACCCTGGGCCCTGCTGACCTTGTGAGCTGACATTTCTCTGCTCTTGGCGGGCAGAGGGGCGTCCTGTGTACTGCAGGGCATGAAATAGCATCTCTCATCCTCCCCCGCCCCCGCTGTGACACCCACAACTACTGTCTCCAGATGTGGCCGAACGACCCCGGGGCACGAAGACTCCCTGATGGAAATGCTGATCTAGGGTTTAGCGTCCTACAAAATGTAACCAGAGTCAATAAAAATGTTCTCCGCCTTCTAGATACGAAGCTTAACGAGTCAATTTGTAAAGTTCCTTGCCACCAAAAAAAAATTGCTTCCTATTCCTAGAAATCTTAGAGTGAACATCCCGCACGAGGGGCCAGTGACCCCCACTTCAAGCTCAGTTCTTATTATATCTCCCCTTTCCCATCCTTCAGAGAAAGATGCCCTTCCCCACGTCATTCACTCTCCCTGTCGTGCCAAAAAGGACCACATTCCTCCGTCAAGGACAGAATTTGCCCTTTGGGAGGGGCCCAACACGTGGTTACAACAAACTCCAAGTCACCGGCACTTTTAGTCGCTAGACCTGCACAAGACAAGAGCCTGATGCCAGGCCTTACCCGAGGGGCCCCGCCAGAGAGGAAGAAAGAGAGGGTTTGACCAGAGACTCCCAGGCTGAGGATTTCTGTGTCCTGCCGGGCAGAGGCTAGATGGCTGAATTGGGGAAATGCCCACCGTGGTTCCAGGGTGGTAGATGGTACTTTCGTCACCACCACTACACACACACACACACACACACACACACACACACACACACACGAAATGTACAGCATCCCATGTTCTGCATAAGCTGCTTTGGCTGTGCCGGTGAGGAGGAAGGGAAAGGTAAAACCCCAGCTGTGGCCAACAGAGTTTATGGCCGATCCCTGCTCACCTGGCCTGACAGGGGAGAGAGCAAGAGAGGCCTCGTTCTGGGAGAAAGATTCAGTAACACCCATTCAGAAAGCTGAGAGGGTTAATTTTATCCAAAGATAGCCAATCAAGACGGTAGGTGATGCACAAGGATCGAAGTCACTGGGACCCATCACGTGACCTTGGCTGGACTCAAGTGACCATGGAAAGAGACTGCAGCAGGAGGGCAGCTGGCTAGACTTAAGGCAGAACTTTGCAAACCCAAGAGCATGAACGTGTAGAAGTTGCAGTCAGGGAGCTTCGAGGCTGAAGGGCGTGTGGGCCATTTCACGCTGGCAAAAGAAAATACTTTTCTTGGACAACCACCGGTGTTCCCAGCAGCACAGTTCAAAAAGCCAAGAAGTGGAAACAACTCAGATGCTCATCAGCCCACGGCTGGATAAACAGAACATGGCGTGACCACACAACGGATTGTGGAGAGAAATGAAGCGCTGACACATGCCACCCCCCCACCCCTAATGAACTGGACAAAGTCCCGCCGAGTGAAAGAAGCCAGTCACAAGAGGCCGCGTACGCTCGCACTCCGTTTACATGGCGGATCCAGAGCAGACACATCTCCAGACACTCCGCCCACACTCCCCGGGCCCTGCAGACCCCCTGGAAGGGAGACCGGCAGAATCTTCGAGATGCCAATCTGACCATGCAATACAGGCCTGTCTGAGAAGCTTCTCAATCAATTCCCTGGATTTTAAACCATTGATAAGAGAAGACAGGTGCAGCAGGGCTGCTGGGAAGTAGACAGGTGCCAGGTGCACAGAGCAGGCGCAGGACACTCCTCCCAGGGCAGTCACAGCAGCTGCCACCTAGCACTGAGCTGCACTCCAGGTAATTCAGCACATGGAATCTCTGCCAAGAGCCAGGATGCTGGTTCTGTTACTGTGCTGCTTTATCAGTAAGGAAACTGAGGCTCCAAGGGGTGTGCAGCAGGGACCTGGGGTCCGGGTGCTGGTGAGAGCAGCAGCTGGGATTCAAACCCAGATCCTGCCAACCCTGACCTGTTGCTCAGCCCTTGCTGCACCTCGCCTCAGGACCCCCACATTGTTCTGGGTTGTCACCGCCTCACGGTGACCACATCTGTCACCAGCTCCTCATGGCCACTTAAGAGCCAGGATGACTATAATCATCACGGTCCCTGTATCTGGCTGGGGGACCCTGATGCTTAAGAGGTCCAAAGCCACATCACCAGAGAGGAGTGAGACTTGAGCTGAGACCTGCCGACCTGGCCATAGGCAAGGGGACCGTCTCGATTCAGCCCTGAAGGGGTTAAGCCAGTACTCCCAGATAGTTCCCAGGAGGCCATGAACCGCCTTCCCAGGGAGGCCAGTGGGCACCCCGAGGTGGGCACCTCGAGGAGACGCGCAGCCCACCAGGGCCCTGAGGACCTACCTTCATCTTGCTCATCCTGCTCCTGCTCGGTGTTGGCATAGGTGCGCAGGAACTCGGCGAAGGCCCCGTCCCGCTCCAGCAGCTCCTGGTAGGAGCCCATCTCGGAGATCTTGCCACCGCTCATGACGATGATGACATCCACTTGTGGCAGGTAGCTGATGCCGTGTGTCACCAGGAGCCGCGTCTGCGGGCAAGCAGGGAGGTCAGGCGGGAGGGCGAGGGCAGTGCAGGCGCCAGCTGTGGGGCCACATCCAGGCAACACACCCGCAATGAGAACCCGGAACACCCCAGCCCCGGAGGCGTTTGTCCCCCGCTGGGGAGCCCACAAAGATCTGTGCCCTGGAGCACAGGGGTGAGTGCCAGTAAAGCCAGCATGTGCTGGAAGGGTCTTGGGCGGGAAGGGAGTGGGGAGGAGGGGCGACTTTAATAGGAGTGACCAGAGGACAAAAATCTATAGGACAAGGGAGAGGGTAACAGGCGGGGTGGGGATGAGTAAGAGTCCCCTTCCCCGCTGCCAAACAATGGGTACCAGGGCTTGTTTTTGGGTTGTTGTTTTGTTTTGTTTTTTTTTCTGTAAGTAAAGGTGCCCCCTGGAAGTCTGCAGTCCGTGTTGGCTTTATCAGGAGGATGAGCATGAGGCTCTGTGTACCTTTGTCAAGATTTTCCTCTAGGGGCCGATGCTAAATATTTTCAGCTTCAGGAACCCTAGACCCTCCAGCTCAGCCACGCCGTCGTGGCGTGAGTGCAGCCACACGGGAGATGCCAGGCCTGGCTGTGTCCCAGCACAGTGCCACTGGCTGGGATTTCAGTGGGATGGTGACACCACACGTCACAGGGCCGTTTCTTTGGAGTTTTTCCAACCACTTGAAAGTACTGAAACTGGGCCTCCCTGGTGGCGCAGGGGTTAAGTCTCAGCACTGTCAAGCTATCGCCAGCCACTATGGCCTGTACCCACATGGCGCAGCAGACCTCTCATGTCTCCCCGCTGCTCCCCTCAGCAGTGTACTTTGGTCTATCTGCCTGTTCTGCTCCCCACCCTGTCTCTGGTGAATCCTCTCACCCCTCTGCCCCCACACGTCTGGCCTGCACCCAGTTCCTATATGCATAAGTAAAAACAAATCTTTAAAAAAGGAAGTACTGAAACCACCCTGGGCTCAGGGTCACACAAGGCAGGCACAGCCAACCAGGTGGATCAGGTGCACTGGCCCTGCTCTTCAGAGAAGGCCTGGGGTGCAGGGTGAGGTGGGGGGGGGGCAATTATTTGTTGTTTTGGGTTTTTTTGTCCTAACCCTCTGATCGTGTTACTACGGGCCTGTATTACTCTGACAACTTAAAAAATGTTTTGAAAATTTTAAAAATTATGCCCACAGCAAATTTTTGTGGTGTCTGTGGGGAAGCTCACCAGAGGTTAGGTGCTGCTTACACAGCAAAAAGTCTTAAAGGAAACAAAAATCTCTAAGCAACAGATTTATACATAATTGATGTGTTTCTCGTGTTTTTCTGAATCACCTGTGACCGTGTGTTGTTTCATGAAATCAGAAAACAATACTCAGGACATCCCCTCACCCTGCCTGAGATTCCCCTGAAAAAACAAACAGAAAAGTAACAAGAACAGGAAACTCTTATGTCAAGTGTTGGGGCAGTTTTCTGCTCTAAACCGCCTTCCCTTGGCCCACAGCCACCTCCGCAGGGAAGGGGGTTGAGGGGCCCATGCCCCCAGGGGCCCGGGGTGGGATTTCCCCCTTGCAGCCTCCCCTGCCAGTCAGTCAGGGCGAGGTCACCTTTGGTCAAGTGGGGGCAGTGACTGCAGGATTAGAAATGTGTCCATCGGTCCAGCTTTTTAAAAAGCCTTAGAAGGGAAAGATCCCCAAGGGGGCCACATTCCAAGTTAAAGAGAGAGACAGCCTGATGCCAGCTGGCTGCTCCGGCAGCTACCTTGCTCTTCAGCATCCCCTTGGGCCCAATCACGTTTTCAAAGATGTGCTTCCCCACGTGGGCATCCACCGCTGAGAGGGGGTCGTCGAAGAGGTAGACGTCAGAGTTACAGTACACGGCCCGGGCCAGGCTCACGCGCTGCTTCTGGCCCCCAGACAGGTTCACACCCTAGGGAGAGAGGCACAGGGTGGGATTCCTGGGGAGACCCAAGACTGGCACGCAGAAAGGATGACCTGCCAGGATGCAGCAGCAGACCCAGGCTGACTCCGCTGCCGCGCTGCACCAATCCTCCCATTTGAACAGGCAGCAAAGGATAAAAGTTGCACCTGCAGGAATGCGGGTTCAACTCCTGGCACTGATTTAGCCTCAACAATGAAAAAGGCAAAGGAGAAAACTAAGCCTCCTGGGATCTGCTGAGCAGAGCGCCTGGCACACAGTGGGCCTTCAGCACAGCAGGGCTGGTGCCATCAAATGCCGGTGCCACAGGGAAGGCGCCTGCGATGTGGTAATGACATTATAATTGTCACTGCTCTTGTTATTACAGTTCACAGCTAACACTTTTTGCCAGATTACATGGCTCTATCACTCATAGGTGAAGCCACATACAGTCAAAGAAGGTTCCATCCTGCAGGCACTGAAATCCAGGCCCTGCGCGGCTCACCAGCATGATGGGCACCGTTTTCTAATTTGCAGCTGGGCAGGACAGCCCTCCCAAGACACATAACCCAGTGTCATTTCCACGTCACGCAGGGGAATCAAGCCCACTGGATTAACCACCCAGCCCCTCTCCAGAGAGATGACCCCCCTCCCCATGCGCCGGGGTGGGGTCCCGGCAGCACCGTTCCTTTCATGGTCCCTCTGGCCACCACCTATTAGCCCAGGGGCAGACCCCAGACCCAAGCTAAAGGGTACAGTTTCTCCCTCCAGATTTTAGTATTGGAACCTACATGGAAGAGTTAGGAATCTCTGAGTGGTAGGAACAGACTTTTTTTTAAAAAAGTCAAAAAAGGACAAAACCGGTTGTGCAGAAAAGGAAAGACAGAAGAGGGAGCAGGCTGCCTGCCCTGCCCTGGCTGAGGACTCCTCATCTGTCCCTAGTATTCCCCAAGATCCATCTGTATTCTTAGACACAGTCTGAGGTTTTGCTTGTGTTGGCTGAGGCTCTTTGTTACTTACAAACTCAAAGAACCCTGCTAATAATTTGTTTTTCTTTCCAAGAAGCTACAGATTTCCCTCAAATGAAAACAATCATTCACCAACTAAGAGAGCTAGTGCAGTCACTGGCTTGTAACATGAAACAGGCGGGAAGCACTTTGGGCTGCCGTGGGATGTCTGGACTCCCTGAGTGTACACCAGATAACCACCAGGGCACCAGAACAGCTGCCAGGCAGAGGGGAAAGCATGTGCAAAGGCCTGAGGGTGGCGAGGAACTTGGGGTCGCTGAGGAGCTGGCCAGAACACCAGTGGGGAGGGCAGACATGGGGGGTGTGGACAGTGAGATTTGGAAACACCCCAAGAGACAAGTTGTAACCAGTTAAGAACAAGGACACAGGAGCAACATCCCACAGCTCTTGGCTGTGTGGCCTCACACAAGTCACTTAGCCTTTCTGGGCCTCAACCATTAAATGGGGATAACAGTAAAATCCCACCCATGGCTTGCTGTGAGGATGAAATATTTACAGAATGTTTGGCATAGTGCCTGGCACACAGTAAACACTCCCGTTTGACAAGCAGAACACCCCGCTGAGCCCAGCCCTTGTCAAACAATCACAGTTAACTCACACATTCAGAGACAGGAAGAGAGCTTGACGTCCTGGCCACTGCAGTTATGCCCTTGCTTGTTACCCAGCAATAGCTGATGGATACAGGGGCCACTGAGAAGCTGTACTGACCTTCTCGCCAATCTCTGTCTGGTCCCCACTGGGCAGAATTTCCAGGTCTGGGAGGAGGGCACAGGCTTCTATCACATCCTTATAATACTGTTCCTTTGGTGGGCGTCCAAAGATGATGTTTTCTCGGAGAGAATTATTCTGAATCCAGGCCTGCTGGGGGACATAGGCCACGGAGCCCTAGGTGGCAAATGGAGGAGGAAAGTCAGACAGACGGGTGTGGGCTAACGGGACCACAGCCGCACCCACAACTGGAGGAGCCTTAATTCATAAGACATTCATCACACCTGTTGTTTCTACAGGAAGGCCTAGGGGTGCCAGAGCTGGGATCAGAACCCATCCACAGTAGGTCAGACACTGACTCCAACATCGGGAACTCAAGAGTTGAAATCTTCATCAATGAGATTATCGGGAGAGGAGTTGTAGATTATATTATAGTTACAAATTCGTGACTGTTCATTGGATGTCTACAAGAGTGAATTTAATTTTTTCTTCCCAAGAGTGGGAAGTCCCTGACATGATGAAAATTGATTTGACTGCCTTTGTAGACAATGCTAAGATTCTCATATACATGATAGTTTTTTAAAGCCTTTTGAAAACAGAGCTCATGTGGGACATCAGGGAAGGACTCCTTGAAGACATTTCCTTGATTAGGTTGACTTAAGCAAGGACTTCTACATCAAAATTGCCTATTTCAAAAGTTGTGCCTTTATTTCCATGTACCTAAGTTATCAAGAATGGCATGAGAAATAATCAGATTGGGGGGGGGGAGGGTGTTTTCTGTACTTTGGTAATAAAACACTGAGATTTAAAAAAAAAGTAAATAAACAAACAGTTAAGGATAAGTTGGTTTGACAAAGAGAAAGGGAAAAGCAATGACTCAGAGGGAAGAGCATGTGCAAAGGTCTGGAGGTGAGAGGAGCTTGGCCCAGTCCAGAAACAGGAAGGCGGGTGTGAGCAGAACATCACATGACAGCGAGACAGACAGGAAGGGGCAGGAGGGCAGCTCACACGAAGTGAGTGGTTCCTGGCGAGGAGCATGGGCCTTCCTGAAGGGTCAGGAGCCACCAAAGGTTCTTAAAGAAGGGAATTCGAGAGGGACAAGGTTGGAGATGGAATCCAAGTCTCCTGACTCTTTGTCTTCAGTCTCAGATAAATATCTAAACTGTTGACTCTAATGTGGTCACATATAAGAGGCCCCAGCATCACAAGCCTCAGGCAGGTCAGACATGGTGAGCATGAGTCTGACCCACTAAAGCATCAGGAGAAAAATATTTTCTCATCAGGGCAAAACAACCACTCACAAGGAAATGAAAAATCTCGTCAAGCCTATCCTCAGCTTCTAGATCCATCATTTTATATTTAAAAGCTTTCTACTTTCAAAAAGTGGGTCTCATTAGCGGGTGATTTTGCCTTCGAGGGGGCATCTGACAATGTTTAGGGACACATTTGGTTGTCAGAAGTGGGGGGGCGTCTGGTGGCAGCTAGTGGATGGGGGTCAGGGATGCGGCTGAAAATCCCGCTATGCACAGGACCACAGAGTCATCCAGCCCAAAATATCCACCGTGCAGGGATGTGGAAATCAGGGTTAATGTGACAGAATGTAGTGTGGATGCCAATGTAGTTGGGAATGTCCTTCCATTAACCCAGCTCACACTGCCCGTTAATCTCACTGTGTAATACGCACTTGAAAGGAACAACAGACTTTTTTTTTTTCATTTTATTTATTTTTGGGTAGAAGAACTGGGGTGTAGGCCAGAGGTGTGGGGGAAGGGATGAGAGGATTCACCAGAGACAGAGTGGGGAGCAGAACAGGCAGATGTACTGAAATACACTGCTGAGGGGAGCCGCAGGTGAGATAGGAGAGGTCTGTTGTACCATATGTGGGTCAGCTCCCTGGCCGGGGATCAAACCCAGGCTGCAGCAGGGATAGCGCTGAAACTTAACCCCTAGGCCACCAGGGAAGCCCGGAACAACAGATACTACTTAAAATGGTTAAATGACCTTGTTTTGGATCCCAGTGTAATGTACACATTCTATTAATGCATGCTATAGAAGGATCCTACAATCAGCCAAAAAGTATTTGGTTCTAAAATATGAACAACATAACCTAGCAGACTCCAAGAGCCTGCCACAGTGGGGATGTAAAAATTGCTGCCTAGGCCACGAAGAGGTGCAGGCCAAAATCTGGGCCAAGCCAGGTTAATCAGAGTTAAACAGGTTTTTCCTCCTTGTAGGACTCCTAAAAGCCTGAAATAATCTCTTAGGAACACAAGGCTTCTTATTTGCAAAGCATCCACTAAGATGGGTTGGCTGCAGACCATGCTCCAGAAAGGCCAGAGCCACAAAACTGCAGGGAAAGGCCTTCCCATGGGACCCACATGTCCCCTGACGTGTCCTCTTAAACTCTCTTTCAAGGCTGACTCCAAACTAAAGGACTCTGCGGATTTCAAAGCTATAAAACCGTAGTCTCCTTTTAGCCCTATGTTAAGGATTCAAAGAACACTCAGAATTTAAACAGTTCTTTTAAAAAGAACTCTCTAGGGGAACATCCCTGGGACATAAACCTTAAGTTTCATTGCATTCGTACAAGGAGATACACAGAGAGAGCCACGCAGAGGGAGAGTGAGTCAGAAAGACTGTGACAGAGATGCGGGGACACACTCCAGGGGCAGCAATGAGGGCAAGAGAGTGCACCAGGGAGCGTGGGTGCCTACTAACGAGCCACTGGGTGCCTTTGATTGCGGCCACTATTCTAAGTGCCGGGAAGTAGGAGGAAACAAATGGCACCGATTCTGCCTCCTAAGAGGACGCAATAGAAAGAATGAGAGCAAGAGAGACAGGAGAGGACAGCTCCCTGCTCTGGCTTCACTCACAGAGCCCAACACTGAAGAAAACAGCACCGCACTTGCCCAGGCCACCAGCTCCCCCAGTCCCCACCCTCGGGTTGTACCTTGACAGCCACGTGTCCCTCCACCTTGTCCATCTCAGCCAAGAGTGCGGAGAGCAGGGATGACTTGCCACAGCCCACCTGGCCCACCACAGCCACCAAGGAACCTTCCGGAACGGAGAAGGTGATGCTGAAACGACAGGACACACACTGGGGCTCAGCCCTGTCCTTGCCCAAAGAGGCAGCCAGGCCGCCACGCATGGGGTCAGGACTTCCTCCTGGCCTCTCCACCGCGGGCTTGGCTCAGGGGACGGTCTCAGCTCAGGGGACGGTCTCAGAAGGTCTCCACCCGGGGGACACGGACGGGGTGGGGACGCAAAAGCATCTTAGAAAACAAGCTGCAGGGGAGGCCTGGGAGAGGCATGATGAGGAGGAGCCGGGGCCACAATGGAGGCACCTGAGAAGACACCCCAAAATGGACTCTGAAGGATGAGCGAGCACCCCAGTCACAGAAACTGAGCAGAGCTAAAGGGAAGGCCCAAGGGCATGAAAGGACAGGTTCAAGGTAGTATCCACACGTCGATGACTATATGTGACAAGGCAGGGAAGACCCCTGAGGACGTGGCACTCAGACGCCCCTGCCTGCCAGATGGAGGCCAGTGGGTTTGTTTGAAGGATGAACCTGACTCTCAGAAGCATGCCTCTGCTAGAGTCACCCTAACACATGACCACAGGCCGAGCGGGGTGACATGTTCTGCCAGCGGGCTGGCTGTCTGAGGACGGGGGGATGGGGACACCTCCTGCCCCCTTGGCCGGGGTCTGGGCTGATGCGCGGGCTGTGCTTCCCAGTGCCCGGCGCGCTGCCGTCTCATTCCCATGGCGGTGGCAATGCCGGGGGCCTCGCTGCCACTGACCGCCTGGCGTGGGCCTCCTGCAGGCCACAGTGGTTACTCTCCTGACCCTGCGTCGTGAGGGGAAGGGGTCGCAGGGCCGGCGCAGAACAGCAAAGCTTCATCCAGCAGAGGCTGGAGCATTTTTATAGGCTGAGGAGGGGAAAGGTTTAATTGAAAGGGGAAAGGTTCCAGGCGTCCGCGGCAGGGACGGGACGGACAGAGGGAGGGGTGGGGACACAGATAACAGATTATTTAGCTGTGGAGCAGGATGAAAGAGAAAAGCTAGAACGGGAGCAGGCAGGAGTAAAGTTAGACTTACAGAGGAGCTTCCGCAAGGTGCACTCCCACTGAACTTTCTGGGAGCTGTCACGTAGATACGTCCCTGGAGGGTGCCCACCCCCCCACCTCCACAGGTAAAACACAGCAGTAACTGGACTGTCTAGTAAGGAAATAATTGTTCAGGGGAGGAGGAGGGACAAGTCCTGCCCCTAAAAATGTCCCTTGGGGGACTGGGTTGGAGACTCCTGAAGGAAGCCTGCAGGAGCCACTCGGCAGGGCACCCTCATCAGAAATAAGTAAGAGGCTCCTGACAAGCTGCCTGAGAACAAGGCCTATTCCCTGGACAGCACTGTGTGCTGTGCAAGGATAAGGACTGGGGGGCGTCAGGGTGCAGGCGGGGAGGTGTGAGAAAGCATGGCAGCCAGGGACCTTGGGGAGCACAGCACCCCAATCCCACCCTGACAGCAAACCCCAGCAGCTCCTTTCAGCTGCCCCGAGCCTGTCTGTCTCCACTGGCAGCCCGAGACCCAACCTGGCCAATCAGCGTGCTCCGTCTCTCCAGGCACGTGACCCAAACTGGGCCAACAAGAGGCAGGCAGGTCAGCTGGTGAGGTAGGAAGTACACCGGAGCTGCAGGGACCTCCTGCCTTTGTGAGGGGGAGGCCACACGATGAGAAAGCAGGAGACAAGATGGAGAGGGGGCCTGAGGGCTCTGGGCCCCTGGATCACCCCGTACCTGACACCTCTCAGCGATGTGTGCCAAAGCCTCCCTTTTGGCCTCAGGTTTCGGTCACCTACAGTCAGAGGGAACCCTCTGTCCAGGAACCCTCTCATCAGCCCCTCGCGGCAGCCCAAGCAGGTGTGACAGGGCCTGTTTCCGGGGGTATAAACTGAGGCTCTGACAAACACAGAGACTACTGAGGTCAGAAAGCTGGAGTGTAGCTGGAACTGGAGCCCCGAGTGGCCAGCATGCCCGGCTCCCCACCCCCCTCCAGCTCACCCATTCAGCGTGGGAGGCTCGCTCCTGGCCCAGGTGAAGGTGGCGTTCTTCACCACGATACTGTTCGTGACCCCACCTGGAAAACGCAGGGAAACACGTCAGGAGTCAGTGACATTGCCCGTGGGGCTGAGCCTGAGCAGGATGTTTTGACTTCTCTTTTTTTTAACTAACCAAGTAGTTCCACCCTGAGGCTGACGCCCTTATCTGTTTGTATCAGTCACACTTTGTCAAGAACCCCAGTGAGCAGCCTCAGACCCAGAAAGCAGAAGGAAACAACCAACTGCAACAGACTCTGCCTTGAGAGACCGGAGGTTGCACCATCTGAACACCCAGCTCACGTGGGGGCTGCTCAAGGCTCCGGGGCTTCCCTTGCCCCATCGGGGGAGGTGCAGGAAGCTCTGCGGGGAGGTCAAGGAGGAGCAAGCAGCACCTTCATGCAGATGGTCCCTCCATCGGGGGGCTGGTCCCTGCACCCCACCCCACCTACCCGTAGCCCTTCCTTTAGGCTCAAAATGGGATGTTTCTTGGGGCATGGGGAGCTGACAGAACGCTCCCCTGGGAGAGCAGGGTTTCTCAATCCGGGCAGCTTTTGGGGCTAAACAGTCTTTCCATAGCACACAGCGGGCTTGGGCTGGATGGTCCTTTGCCGCAGGAGGCTGCTTTATGGGGAGCAAGGTGTTGAGCAGCCTCCCTGGCCTCAACTCACTAGACGCCCTCTCTGTGACAACCAAAACTGGGTCCAGTCATTTGTCCAGAGAACAAAAAAAGCCCACAGTTGTGTAACAGGGTGGTCCCCAGGAAAGGGGGAGGTTCCAGGTTCCCTGCCCCACCCAAGGGAGGGTGGAGCTGAGCAGGGAGAGAAGAAGCTGCAGAGGAGACTGAGGAAGGAAGGAAGCAGGATGCAGAGCCAGAAGGAGACCTGGAGGACGTGCATGGAGCCGAGAGACACGTGAAGAAACTGCGCTTGCCTTTTGGTCGTGGACTGGGTGACACAGATGTGGGTGAGACCCGTGGGGAGGTGACAATGGCAGTTTTTATCTTGATTTTGATTTTGCTCTTTTCCTTCCAGACTTGTCTGGTTGTTTCTGACCCTTTTCTGTGGGTCCCCACTGGAAGATGCTTTAGACTTGTGACAGGCTTTGGGGCCTTGCTCTGGGCCAATCCTGCTTGGGTGGACTTTTACCCACGAGGGGACGGGTAACTTTGGGTACTTGATTTAGAAACTAGATTCTTTGCCTTTCCTGTATTGTTTCCTAATTGTATTAAAGTTCCTTCCCATTAAAGTCTCATATGTTTTGTGCTGATGCGGCAGATGGCAGAACCCATTTAGAGCAGGCAGGTTTGCAGGGTCTGGGCTGCCCCTCTCCCTGTACCGTAACAGTTAGAGAAGAAAGGGAGGGAATCTGCCTGGATCCCAGGGAGGCACAAACGCTTCTCTGCTCTTTCATATTCTCTCTCTCCCTGCACCCACCTCTCCCTCCCTCCCATCCTTCAGAACAGGTCATTCCTTCTAAAACACAAGTCGGAATAAACAGAAAAAGCTCACTATGGACCAGGAAGTGGCGTATCACCACGTGGGGGAGGGGAGCGTGTTTAAGACAAAGGCTGCTTTATCTGGCCAGCTCCTGGTTCCAAAGTCTCTACACCTCTGTCATCATTTACTTTCCCTCTTTGTTTTCCTTCATGCCCATCACTTAACAAAGCAATATTTGATTCTAGACTATGAGCTACTTTAAAACCACCTAGAGATAAGAGGGTGTTTTTAACTTGTCAAATGACGAGGTAAATCCACCCCCCATCACAAAAAAAAACCTGAGTCCAGAGGAAGTTACTGGTTAATCTGATTTAACCTCCCTACTCCCATAACAGAGAGACAGGGAGGCAGGAAAGCCACTTGAATCAGAGGAGCTAGACTCTTAAGACTTGACCCCCGGAGCTGCCAAGGTGGCCCCCCCGGCACCTGGAGAGCAAGAATAAACATCAAAATTCCTGGAAGTCTCCATGGGCAGGTGGGGCCTGAGGCCTGGACAGAACCAGCAGGCCCGGGGTCCTTCCAACATGACCCTTGAGGTAAGTTCTGAATAACTTCAGAACCTCCAAACCTCCAGTGGCCACATCCAATTTCAGCAGAGAACTCTTGACCCTAGATTAGATGGCATCGTTCCGACATCGAGGCCTAGGTGGGGGAAGGGGCAGGGAGGAATCGGTCCTGAAGACAGCAGAAACTGAACAAGCACAGGCCAGGGATGTTAAAAGAAGAGTCCAGCATCCAAGAAACAGTGGTGATATCAGCAGGAGGCCGTGTGGCCCCCAAAAGGACATCGGGCACTGTCTGGAGACATTCTGGGTTGTGAAAACTGGGGTGGGGGGCTATTGGCATCTAGTGGGTAGAGGCCGGGGATGCTGCTCCACATCCTACAGTGTAATCAATGGCCCTGCACAGCACAAATGATCTGGCAGATGATTGCAGAAAGTCAAAAATCCCAGGAGTCTTCCATGGGCAGGCGGAGGCCTAAGGCCTGAGCAGCACTAGCAGCCCGAGGCTGAGAAGTGTGGCCCCAGAGGGCAGAGCTGAAGGTGAGGCCCATCATTCCCCCAGCACAATCACCTGTAGCAGGCACTGCGCGGAAGCCATGCACCGCTGCAGGTGGGGTCTACCAGTGCAGGCACAGCTCACACCGTGGCCGCTGCACACACAGCCCTTCCTCCGACCATATTTGTTGGGCTCTGCAGGCAACCGTGTGAGCTTAAATGCTGGTGCTGCCACATCCTAGCTGGAGAGCCACAAGCAAGTCACTGGACTGCTCTGCTCACATTCCCCCTCTGTAAAATGGGGTTGATAATCATGGGAGAAGGGTCCATAGGGCTTTGGTGTGGAGCAAATAAGGCAACACAGAGCACCCCCTGCCCTGCTAGCACACAGCAGATGCTCACAGAGTCTCAGCAAGGCAGTGCCACGTCAGACGCATACTCTCATCTGTAAAGGGGAGGTGTCGTCCAATGGGAGGGCTCTATGGATGGGTTGGTCCTGGACCAGAGTGTGCAGGCTGGGAGTGGCTTACATGTGAAAGTGGCCACTGCATTGGTGCCATTCGTGTTCATTAGTAAACGCCCAGAGAGCCAGCCACGAGGAAGAACCCAGCTGAGGGGGAGGGTGCCCGACAATCAAAATTTATACACTCCCCTGCCAAAGAAAGGCACTGTCACCCCCATTACCCAGATAGGAAACTGAGGCTCAGAGCAATGTCGTGACCTGCCCCAGTACACTCAGCTATTAGTATGGGAGGTTGGCCCATCCCCAGCGCCTGTTTCCCTGTCCAGCTGCCCAGAAAGAAGAGACTTGAGGTGGGGTCCTGGAAACTGACCCTCAGGGCGAGGCCTCGCCAGGTGGCTGCAACTCAGCAAGAAAACAAAAGTGCAAGTCTGTCCTAGGCAAAGCAAGTTAAGTCCCCTGCAGGACAGACCTCCCTTCCTCCACGCCCATGCAGGAGATCCTGTTCCCTGGGGCCTCGCCCACCAGGAGCGGCAGGGACTTGAGGGCAGGGTGGGCAGCGGCCACAGGGCAGGGGAGAAGAGAGTGCACACACCGTCTTTGATGGACCGTCGCTCGATGCTGTCGGGCTCCAGCTCCTCGTGGGAGAGAAAGATCCGGAGGCGCTTGAGGGAGACACTCGCCTACACAGAAAGCAACATAATTATTTTTAAAAACATTTCTGCAAAATACAGAGGCAGACGTTCAGAGGTTTCCCCTGGGCATGGAGGGGCCCGCACGCTCTCTTGCTTCAGAAGCTTCTGCATTTCTGACAAATGGATGCTGTGGAATAAAACATAAAACCAGTTCTGGCTCCTAGTTTGTTCTTTCAAAGCCCACTGTGGTATTCAAGACCCACAGATGCAAAGGGTCTTAAGAAACAGAACAGCCAAAGGCAATGCATCCAGCCTGCTCCTAGGAGCTCAGTGAGTCCTGGAGGTGGGACGTGGCCTGTGACCTCAACAACACGGCACAGTAAACTCCAGCGCTGCTGAGAGTCCAAGCAGAGATGGTCTTACCACATGAAAGAAGTGATAAGCCACAGAGCTGTCAGTTCCCATGGTAACCACATGGCCATCCATCGATATGAGCTCATCTCAACCACTGACTATACTATAAATACCAACTATATCTAAACAACAAACTCAAAAAAAAGCAAAGGTCCTAATTCAAACAGTCCAACTGTAAAGACATTTCTGATCATCCAGAAATTCTTACTATGCACTAGGTACTATTTTAAGCAATGATTTTTCGTTGTGTTATGTGTGATGGTGTTATAATTATGTAACAAGAAATGCATGCTGAAGTATGTATGTGTGATGTGTCAAAAGGTCTGGAATTTGCTTTAAAATCCCGTGGCACAGATAGAAAGGAAGGGAGAGAAGGAGGACAGAAAAAGGATGAGCTGAAGCAAGTGTGATGTATGGGGGTGACAGGTGCCCAGGAGTCCACTTTTCTACTCTACTTCCGTGCACATTTGAAAGTGTTCAAACTAAAGGAGTTTTGTTTGTTTATTTTTTTTCTTTTTTCAGTAGAGCCTTCAGCTGGAGCTGTAGAACCGAATCTGAAGGCCAATTCATGCATGTGTCTGGAAAAGGGGTTTTCCACAAAAATGCCTGCCGTGCCAGGGAGAAGAGCGAAAACGACTCTTGGCAGGAAAGTGGTCAGAGATGCAAATAGTGGGACGGTGTGACAGTGCAGCGCCTCCTGTCCTTACAGAGCCATGTGCATTCACTAAGTGTTCTGGGGGTCAAGGTCAGGACTTTTCTAATGGTGGGTCCAGCTCTGTGAGTGAGTTGTGGAACCATGGAGGGGGTCAGAGGAAAAACAGGGCTGAACAGGACAGGGAGAACAGATCAGAGCAGAGAGAACAAGAGAAAACATTTCAGAAAGAATCTTGCAGGGCACGGAAAGCCTGTGGCATCTGTTTCACATACAGATCTTCTTCATGTAAGGTTACATCCTGATAGATGCATCCTGAGTTGGAAATAATGCTGATTCGAAAATGCGTTTAGCCACCTAACCTCCAGGGTGTCACAGCTCAGCCTGGCCTGCTTACAACCTACAGCTGAGAACACTTACGTGACTGACCGCTAGGCTAGGCCACTTGACATGAGGGTGTGGTGTCCTGAGGGCTGCATGCAATGTGCTACTACCACACACTGCAAGTTCGGGTTCTTTATCCTGGCGACTGAGTGCCCGACAGGAGCTCCCATGAGATTGGTCCAGCCCCCCTCAACTCTCTGGCCCAGGAAAAGACTTACATTCCAAGGGCAGTTTTATTGAATGCATATCAATTTCACACCATCAAAAAGTTGAAAAATCTTTAATCGAAACATCCTAGGTCAGGGGACCGTCTGTGCTCAAAATCAAGTTGTGTGTCAAGAAGAAAACACATCTGTTTCTTTGGGGGCAGGACCAAGAAAGCCAGCAAGCCAGCAGAGTGGACCTGGCCGAGTCCCCCACACAGTGAGACCAGTGGGAACCCCAAGGATCCCCATGCCCCTTGCCTCGCTTCCCAGAGGCCCCTCCCTATGACGCCCACCTTGCGGTACCTGCACGATGCTGCTGATGACCATGGGGAGGATGTTCAGGGGGAAGCGGAGGATATTGAACAAGGCCAGGGACACAAAGGCTTTCTGGGCATCCAGGATGTTGCTCTTGTCGATGGTCACGTAGACAGCAAATGTGGACAGGGCCACCTGCAGGCAGAAGGTGCGGGCTGACCTGAGGCCCTGAGCTGAACACAGTGGCAGGAGCCGTCCCACCCCAGCATGGCTGTGGGACACGGAGGGCTGCGGCACCAGGTGCAGTACGCCAGCAGGTGTGTCCTTCAGAAGGCAAGCAGGGCCGGGGGCTGCGAAGCCAGGCCTCTCCCACCAACTGGCATTCTCGGGGGTTCCTTGACAACACCAAGCAAGAGCCCATCCCCCAGCCTCTCCCCCTAAGGTTTCTTCTGCCTGAACCCACCTCCCGCTAGAAGGTGTAGCTAGTCCCTGTCCCCCAACGTCCCCCGTTTCCTGGGCTGGCTCCTGCATGGCAGGAGCGCCACCTGAGGCCACACGATTACATGGGCTCACTGCCCATCCCCAGCACGGCTGTGCTAACTCCTTGAAGACAGGAGTTTTGTTTCACACACGGCTGTGTGTTCAGTGTTCAGAATAACCCCGAGCAGACCGAACCAGTTACCTCCTCTTCCCAGACCTCTGTCACCTTATCTGTGAAATGGGGGTGGAGGTGTGAAATCAATGTCAGCTACTTCCAGCTCAGAGTCTCTGGCTGTGTAGCCCGAGGAAAGGAAGTCATTTTTAAGGAAGGAAAGGAAAACAAGTCTTGGCGGCCACTCCCTTCACCATGAAGTCAGACCTGCTTTCAGCCCTTGATGGTTCGTGGGATTACCCTGCTCATGCTCCCAAAATTTGGGTTCAGTTGTCTAACACCTCCCTGGCCAGAACGGAAGGGCCCCCAGTAATGTGATCTAGGGCTGCACTGCTGGCTTAAGCAGGAGGTAAAAGATCAATAGGTGGATCCCCACCTCCCCCCCTACAAGGGCCGGAGCAGCACCAGGTGTTGCCAGGGAGGCTGGTCATAGGTACACTATCGGGAGCAAACTGGAAACCTTGGACCTGGCAGATGGGCAAGTCTCCACGCCCCTCATTAGCCCCAGGATCCCAGGACCATTAAAGCTTGTCTTTGGGAAAAATCAACTGCCCCAGGCAGAATCTATTAACCGGATCCCACAAGCATGGTCAGGAGCAGAAACCCATTCCTGTTCTGGCTCTGACATTACAAGCTAACTGACCCCTAGGCAAAGCCCAGAAATTTTCCAGGCTCCAGGGCCAAGGGAGAGGTGAAGCAATCAAAGAGCCACCGACACATGATCCCCACATCTCAGAGTCACTCCCCACTTCCAGGCCGTGATGAGGCACTGGCCTCTTACCCAAAGACAGGCTTCACTCAAAACTCTCTATCAGGCCTCCCTGGTGGCGCAGGGGTTAAAACACAGCGCTATCATGCAATAGCTAGTCATTGCAGCACGAGTTTGTTCCCTGGCCGGCCAGGGAGTGGACCCACATGGCGCAGCAGACCTCTCCGGCCTTACCCACTACTCCCCTCAGCAGTGTATTTCAGTAGATCTGCTGTTCTGCTCCCCACTCTGTCTCTGGTGCATCTTCTCATCCCCCCGACTCTCCACCCCGCACCTCTGGCTTACACCCCAGCTCTTGTATGCATAAATAAATAAATAAATCTTTTAAAAAAAAAAACTATCAATAAATACACCCACACAAAGGAATAGTATCCAGCCATCAAAAGGAATAACCCGCTACAACATGGATGAACCTTGGGAACATTATAACTGAAAGAAGACAGGCACAAAGGGGACACCGAGTATGATTCCATTTATATGAGATGTCCAGAACAGGCAGGTCTACGGAACTAAGAAGTGGATTAGTGTGGACTGGGGGTGGGGGATGAGGGTGTGTGGGGGGGTGACTGCCAATGAGTATAGGGTTTCCTTCTGGGGTGATGAAAACGTTCTGTAATTAAATGGTGGGGATGAGTTGCAACCCAGGAATATCTCACATTCAGGGCGTTCACTGAAGGGTGCACTTTAAAATGGTAAATTATCGCACAATAAAAATAACAATGTTTTGTTATAAACGCACCTCTCCACAGCCTGTGCTACTGACAAAGCCAAAGTCTTGACTTGGCCCCCGGGCCCAGCCGAGCGGTAAAGGTGCCGTCTCTGAAACCTGTCTCACCGCCTCAGCCCCTCTTCTTCCATCCTCCCCGGCTCCTCTTTTTTTAATCTCTCTTTGATTTGAATTTTGGCTTCTGTCACTTAGAAGACAGTTCCTGACTAAGACTTCAAATCTCACATTCACTTATCCCAACACCCCTCTCTGCACACCTGAGTGTGTCATCTGCCAAGTCCCCTGTGTTCTGGGGATATAAGCCAAGAAAAGGCTAAGGTCTGCATGTGATCTGGCCACCAGGGAAGGTCACCGCAGGTGTGGCCTCACAGTGGAGGGAGGAGCCAGGCCAGCAGAAGACTAGAGGCTCACAAATCATCCAAGTCAGAAAATGCTAACTATTGAGCCTGGGTTATTTGGGGAACGTGCATTAAGTGGACATGATAAATGCCAGGCTCCATATTCTAGAACAACAGCCCCATCCATCCCACGCAAAGGCATCCCCACTCTTGTCTGAGTCCCCGACCTCTGTTTTCCATCATTCCAACTGGTGGGTAAACACCTCATCATCCTTGAAGTGCAGGAATTTGCCGATGGAAAGAACAGGCAAACCCCTCACAGGGACCACATATTTTATCCTAATGCAGTCAGGATAATGCAGTGTCTCAGCCAGGGACAAGGTCTGGGATCAGCTATTATGCCAAATAGCCCAACAAACTCCATCTCTGGAAGCCTGTCACCTCCAGCCTTCTCTCCCCACCCCGACACTGAGTGGCAAGCTCCAGGCAGAGAAGAACCCGTCGGCTCTCACTCATCTCTTGCCGTGGCCTCCTAACAACCAGGGCAGGCAATTATAAATAAAAGGCCAGCAAATTCGGGGGACAAACTAGACATTGAAGCTTTCATCAGAGGATCCAACAGGCAAAGCAAATGGCCACAGGACAAGGGTCCCCCACCCTAACACAAATCACAGCCTAAACCTTGTAACCCAGCTCCCTGGCTGCAGATATTTTATTAAAAATTTTTTTCAAAATGCGTTGAGTTTTCTGGATGTTTGCTGCCACTTGTATTAAAATGAATAAACAAGATCTGTAAATTTAACTGTCTTACTATACTCTCTGCTGTGCTAGTACGTCTGTAACTCTGGAAATATACAGAGTAAACTGACACAAGAGAGAAGTAAATGGGGCTTGGGGAAGGAAAGAGTTGTGTCTTTCGCTGTAAACCCATGGCGCTCAAGTGAGGCACAGTGGCAATGACCGGAGATATTTCAATTGTCCCAACTGGGAGGAGAGCTGAGGGGTACATGGACTGAAGGCCCCGGGCCCCTCCCTTGTGGGTGTCGCAATGACCGGCTCAGGTCACAACAGAGATGGCAGCGGAGCCCAGTGGCATCAGGACTGTCAGCAGAGTGTCTGCACCCCAGGCCAGGCGTCAGGACACGGCGGGTGGAGGGATTTTACATTTTTAAATGACTGAAAAAATATCAAGATCACAATATTGGATGACACATGAAGATGACCTGAAATTCAAATTTCAGTGTCCACAAATACATTTTTATAGAAATGCAGCCACCCATTCAGATTCATGTGCTAGCCCTGGCTGCCCGCACACCACACTGGCAGAGTCGGTATAAGAGATGCCGTGAGCTCTCGGTGCCTCAAATATTTACTAGTTGGTCCTTTACAGAAAGAGTTTGCTTACTCTCACTCTGTGCCTCTGTTTCTCAAATTTTAAAGTGTGTACAAAACATCTGGTTAATTGGTAAAATTCACATTCTGTTCCAGCAGGCCTGGTGCAAGGCCTGAGACCACCTATAACCAGCAGTTCCTGACCTGGCTGATAATGTCCCCCTGGGCAGGAGGTTGCTAAATGCTGCAATAACACAGTGGGGAGGAGAAGTCAGAGAGAGGCAATTTTTAAAAGCAGAAATAGTGAAATAATGACTTTCAAAGACTATTTTGGTACAGAAAGACAATAAAATCTAAGAGGATGCGGGCCAGGATCAACCTGACTTCACTCACCAGGAAAGGTGTGCAGACCCAGGTGAAGGTGCCCATGGCGGCCAGGTAGGCAGTTTTCCTCAGGGACTTCAGCTCTTCCTGTCTGATCTCCAGCACCTTGTCCTTGAACGCCAGCTCCCAAGCGTACAGCTTCAGCACTTTGATCCCGTTGAGAATTTCATTCATCAGCTTGATCCGGCTGTCTTTGCTCTTCATGTGGGCCACCTTCAAGGAAAAGGGGGTCAACGCCCCGTGCCCCGCCCGCCACCAGACTGTCACACCACATCACCCGAAAATCAGCCTGCCTTTGGAGAGGGTGGGGACGCAGGCCCTGCCATCCCTGGATTCTCGACTCTGGACCCCAAGAATGCGCCAACAGACTTTCTGAGCAGGCTGTAAATGCCTCGAGACACATTAAATTAAGATGTGAGGAAAACTATTAAATTTGGAGCTAACAGACAGAGGCAAGAAAAACTTTGTTACCCAGGGGAGGTGGGGCAGGGGCCCTACTCTGCCAACTAAAACACATGACACATGAGATGTTTTGTTGTTGTTTTTTTTCTCTCCATCTTCTTAGTTTCTTTATTGATTTGTTGCCAGGATACAGTTGTTAGAAGACTGAAATGTTTCCGTGCCAGCCGGCACTGGCCCCCACCACTGGGTGCTGACACCATATAGGCGTTAGATATTTTTAATGCCATCCAGCATTTTCCATGCATTTAGTCACTTAACGTGCATGGAAGCCCAGCGCTGAGCTGGGTCACAAGGAAAAACTCAGCACATGACCTCAAAGCCAGTAACTGAAGCCACTGCAGAGTCAGGCACAGGGGAAGCCCAAGAGGATGAAAGAGGACATGGCTCCCACACCTTCCTCGCCCACCTGCCTCACATCCCCTGCCAAAAAGGCTCATCGTTCAGGCAAGCCCATGTCCTGGAATTTATCTCTCCCATGCCTGGTGTGGGGAGCGGGGACAGCCAAGCACAGGCACATCAGAAACAGTCATCAACAGGGGAGCAGAGAATGAGGTCTGGCCCGACTCTGTTATGGACTATCAGGCACCAGTTCAAGAGAATGAGTCACATGATATGGCAGAAGACAGAAAGATCCCAAGGCACGATGTCGGAGGATAAAATAACATCAAACAGGCGCGTGTGTGTGTGTGGCTGATTAACTATAGTTAATTGGATCGCTATATAAATTCACAGAACATTCCAGAAGAACGTGCTTCAAAGTGTTTGCCATGGATGAGAGGATAGTGAAAGAGACAACCCCTTTTATTAATCTATACAACGTTTGGGGATTTTGGAACAATTTTAATGAGAAAGTATTCATTCTATTACTCAGGTATTTAAAACCTAAAAAATACCAAAAATAAAGAATTTAATACTGCACCTAGCATAAGGTGCTTAACAGGTGGGGGGAAATGCAGCGGGTAATTTTTACTCAGTTCTTGCAAACACATTAAGTGAATCCACCCTACAGGAAACCAGGAATTTCTTGGGGGTCCCCAGATGTGATTTTACCGGCCCACTTGGTCGGATTATTTCGGGAGCTGTTGATATTGGCTGCCCACTGTAATCACCCATAATGCTGGAAAAAAGTCCAAAGCATGACCCCACTTTTGGTGAATCAGAATCCGGGAAGTGGAGCCTGGGCATCAGCATTTGCTCAGGTTCCCAGAGGATCCCAAGAGGTGGGCAAGGGCCCTGCCTGGAAGCCTGTGGAGACAAGACACCCTACCTGGTAGGTCTTGGTCTTCATGGCCATCACGGCATTGAGGGGGACCATCAGGATCATCACCACCACCCCGGCCAGGACGGAAGGGCCCAGGTTCTAAGGAAGGAAATAAGACCCTTCGTTACTCTCAAGACAGGGCACACAGGCCTGATGCAGGGCTCCCCCAGTGGAGTCACGCACACCAACTCTGCCCAGCAAGTTGGGGGCAGTTAAGCTACTTCTACCCTGCAATGGGGTGCACAGATTTATTCCTGAGCATCTTTTGGATCCTCTATCTTATGACCTTTCTGAATTTCTAAAGCTCTAACTTGCAAAACTCACCTGGTCCCACTGGTTTCAGGTTAGGAATGTGAGACCTGCGTATTCTTAAAGGTAAGACAGCGTTGCGCAGGACAGTTCACACAGCCTACCTGCGGATCTAGCTGGCAGCCTTGCAAAATTGACCCCGGGCTGGCACCTGGGGGTCTGGATCTGGGGAGGGTTCCCTCCACTCTCAGGACTGGCAAGGGTGGCCCAAGGTGCCTAAGCTGTTGCTCAGAACAGCGTGATTGATGCTGAACTCCACTCATCCTTCAGGGAACCTGGAAGTTTGGTATGTGCCAAATGGTAGATGCCAATGTGACCAGCCCCCCAGGCCTCTGGGCATGGGGCCTCCATAGAGCTTCCCAGGCCAGTGGCATTTCACAGGTGTTACCACAAGCCATCGCTGGGATAGTAAGTGTACCCCATGTGACTCCAATGGGTGAGGATTCAGGTAAGTCTGTACCTGGTTCCCCCTGAAAATTGCCCCCTGTGTCTATCCCCTTTGCTAATTCCACTATAATAAATTATAGCTGTGAGTCCTCCCCAGAGCCTCATCAAGCTGGTGTGGTCTTGGGGACCCTGACACAGGTGCACCTGCCATACACTGTGTTGCAGCCCTGGCACAGCACCTGCAGTCAGAGAGATGCATTTATTTTTCCACAGTAAAATAGCAATATTAATATTCACATTGAAAGGAATAATCAAGATCAGAATCCTTCGCATCACTTTGCTGATGCGTCGAGAAAAACTTTGTTTTCAGACTTCTCTGATTTGGGGATTGGGAGGTAAGAGGTGGCAGCCTTGTTCCATCTTCCCGTTTGCAAATAAAAAAAGTCCATTTCTGAGAGCATGGAGGAGCCTAAAACAAGATACAAGGCAACCTCTTTCCCCAGCCGAGTCACATAAATGAGACAATTTGAGGAGTTGGAGCAGCGGACAATTCCTTGGCTGAGACACAGAGAGGGAGCTCTGATGCCAAGTTCCCTCTTGGGTGTTCAGAAAACCAGAAGTGTTGAGTCCCTTCCAGGCAGCCACCCTCGCAAACTCTAGAACCAGAACAATGCTGCTGTGGCCCCAGAGGGTTTCTGTGATGTGTGTCCACCCAGGGCAGCTGAAGCCACCCCAGCAATCAATAGGGTGCAGAATCAACTCTGAGAATAAATAACAGTGACCAAAACATACTGAGCACTATTCAGTCTGCTTGCACAAACATACCAACACTGTTCTAGAAACAGCACCTACATCAGCTCATCTAACTGTGCCAGCATCCCCAGGCTGAGAGCCCCCTCTGTCCCCACCCATTTAGGGACAGTAAGAGGCGTGTCCAAGGACGGGAGCTGGCTACGGGAGAGACAGGGCCGGAACCAGGCAGTCTGACTGCTGGACATACTCCGTCTTCCACTATCCTGGACAGAGATTTTGATGGTCAGATAGAAAAATTCCAGTTTTGATCTAAAGTAGGGGGTCATCCCTTGTGGTGCAAGGGGTTAAGATGTAACGCAGCCACTGCAGCACTAGTTCAATCCCCAGCCAGGGAGCTACCCACATGGCATAGCAGACCTCTCCTGTCTCCCCGTTGCTCCCCTCAGCAGTGCATTTAAGTAGATCCTCCTGTTCTGCCCCCCACTCTGTCTCTGGTGAGCCCTCTCACCCCACCTCACCTCTGGCCTACACCCCAGTTCTTCCATGCATAAATAAATCTTTAAAAAAATATAAAGCAGGGGTTCACTACCAGGAAGCAATTTCTCCCCAGGAAACATTTAAGTTGTCACACAGGGTGGTGGAGCTGGGGGAGAGGGGTTGCTGTGTTATTGGTATCTGGTGAGGAGAGGCCAGGGATGCTGCTAAACAGCCTACAATTTTCAGGACAGCCCCCAACAACAAAGTTAACCCCAAACGTCAATAAAGCAATGAGTTTCCCTTCATCTAAATCAAAGCAATTTTCTTCAGGGTTCACAGGCCCATCCTGAAAGCAGTTCTAAGAGAACATTTCAAAAACAAGCTGCCTGTGGTGGCAATTACTGACAGGCACCCCAAAATGTCTGCCTCAAAAGACATTTCTTTTGCTATTTAAATTCTGGGGATTTTCCCCTCAGTTTCATTGTTAGAAATACTTTCCAGTCACTTATCTTCTGCTCTACAGATACACAGTCAAATCAACAGGTAATTTGTATGCAGCTTTTATGCGCCAGGCCCTGCAGGGACAGCCATGCATGAGCTTGGTGGTGCGGGGGTGGACTGCGCATGCAGAAGACTACTCTAGAAAGTCAGATCAGATGAGTCCCTATAGTGAAGCTACTGGTATTCAACAAAGGAAGAAGTGCATCTGATTGAGAGACACGCACAAAAAAAAATCAGTGGAGGAGGCACAACCAGGAAGGATGGGTGGGATTCTATCAGTGGGGGAGGAAGGAAAGGAAGTCCTGATGGAAGGAAACGAATAAGCAAAAGTTCAGAGGTGGGGAAGACTAAGGCAAGGGTTAGGCTGAGCGTCTCTGCTCATCAGCTATTTATTTGGGGGAACAGCCCCTCCCTACAGAACAGCTGTCGATCACACCTCCGCTGCTCCCATCATGGTAGTGGGACTATGATCCAGGCTGGCTAATCAGAAAACGCTGCCTCCTGCTACACAGTGATTGGTTCAGGGATGTGAACTGGACTGTGCCTGGCCAATCAGAGTGCTCCCTGGGACTCTAGCTGAGTCCCTAGGAATGCAGTATTTTCTTTTTTTTTTTTTTAAAGATTTATTTATTTATGCATACAAGAACTGGGGTATAGGCCAGAGGTGTGGGAAGTAAGAGGATTCACCAGAGACAGAGCAGGGAGCAGAACAGGCAGATTTACTGAAATACACTGCTGAGGGGAGCAGCAAGCAAGACAGGAGAGGTCTGCTGTGCCATGTGGGTAGCTCCCTGGCTGGCCAGGGATCAAATTTGGGCTGCAGAGGCTGTGGACAGCTTCATAGGTTGCGTCTTAACCCCTTGCCCCACCATGGGGCCCAGTATTCTCTTTTCTGTAGCACCACAATCCCTAAAGCTGACATAAACCCAAAGCTAAGGAAGTCATTTGAGGGCATCCCCTGTGAAAGAAGTCAATTCAGAGGAAAACAGGGCCAAGAAATAATAACAGAAAGAGTGAGACTGAGTCCTTACAGCACTCCTTGTTTCCTAGATCCAACCTTGCCTGAAACCGATCCCTGGACTTTGCAGTTAGTGACTGCACCCACAAAATTCCCTTTATCTGGTTAGGCTATTTTAAGATGGATTTCTATCCCTATTGACCAACATAAATAGCGAAGAGTGAATGAATGAGTTTGGTGAGTGTTTGGTGGACACCAACAGGAAAGAAATATGGTAAGTGTGTCTGTAGGTTAAATACCCTATCCAAGAAAGACAGATGCCAACACATACTTGCCCCAATGAGAACATGAATCCAATAACTAAGGAAAGGAGTAAATATTCAGGAATTGATTGAAGACTCAGAAGATAAAATGGAAATGATGGCAAGAAATCCCAGCAGGCAATAGAGGATCTTACTGACACCCACGGCCTTGCCCCCACCACCCCTGTGGAGGCCCCATGGTGGGGGAGGGGAGGGGACATTAGACACACACCACCCACAGGAGGTAGAGGGCCAGGAAGACTTGCAGAGGGGCCGACCAGATCATGTTGATGTACGTGGCCAGGTCCATGAACCTCTGTGCGTCCACCGACATGAGGTTGACAATCTCCCCCACGGTGGAGGACTTTCTGGCTGAGTTGGTGATCACCAGGGCCTGTGTGAAAAAGGAGAAAGGGTGAGTGTGGCAGTGGGCTGGCTTCTCGGCCCACATGGAGGCGGGAGGGTGCTCAGCGGGGGCAGAAAGGCCACTTTCTCCTCCCCAGTAGACGGCCCCACCTTCCTGGTGCCTGCCTCGCCACGGAATCCCTCTGGGAAGCACCCACACTCCTCCCCCTCCTGAGTTCTTCAACATGGAAGGAAGCTTGAGGTCTCCCACACTAAAACTAGGGCTCCCACACTCTAGGGAGCACACATCACCCCGGGGGAGTTACTGGCAGTTCTGATTCAGCAGATCTGGGTGGGGCCCAAGGTTCTAAAATTCCAACAAGTTCCAGGTGATGTGGATGCTGCTGGTCCCCACTTCACACTGAAGGACCAAGGTCTTGGCCCCGGTTTCCTGACATTGGCATTACTGACATGTGAGACTAGATGAATCTTTGTAGGGTTCTCCTGGATACTGTAGATGGTGTGGGGTACTAACCATCGCTCCCAATCTCTCCTTGCCTCCACCCCACCTGCTATGACAACCAAAAATATCTCTAGACATGGCCAAACCCCCGGAGGGACAAAATCACCCGGTTCCCAAACATGGCTTCGCACCATCACCTGGCAAGTTTTAGAAACACTGATGCCGGGTCCCACCTTCAGGGATCCCGACCGAGTCATGTGAGCCGGAGCCTTGGGCACAGGACATTGCTAGAGCTCTCCAGGTGAGTCTAACTTGCAGGCCAGGCTTTGAACTGATGACCTAGTCCCTCCTTCCTGACCACCTGCAACACATCTCCTCCCACACCAAGGAGCCCAGCAGGGTCCTTGCCCCAAGGCTAAGAAATGAAGGGGCCAAGGAGGAGACCCAGTTGCTTCTCAGGGGGTGCACACAAGCCCACCAACCACTCAATTATCTGGGTGTGTCTCTCCTACTCTGTTCAAGTAGAGTCAGAACAAAACATGAAGGGCAGAGTGAGGGTTTGAATCTGGACTTTCCCAAGCCAAGGACCACCAGCGTCCCTAAGCAATGCAGTTGCCTGAGGCTGACCGGGGCTCAGACACCCACACCCTCCCTCTCGCCATCGCTGGTCTAGCATCAGTCCCAGCCACGCAGGCCACCCTCTGGCTGCCCCAGAAGCCGAGCAGAAAGCCCCCCTGAGCTTTCCAGAGTGACCCAGCCAAGACCAGGGATTCTGAGGCTGCAGCAGGTGCTGTCGGCCTCAGTCATGCCCGCCTGGCCCACCCACCTTGCGGTAGACGGCGCCGATGACGGCGGTCTTGATCCTCATGCCGCTGACGAAGCAGATGTGGAAGTATTGGTGCAGAAGCAGGGTCTGCAGGCAGGTGCTGATGAACAGCAGCGCCGTGTAGAAGTAGCCCTGCCAGGCCGGGGCACTCTTATCATTCGCAAATTTGATGAGCAACCTGCAAAGGAGCGAGGGCGGAGCCCGCATGAGGAGCCACGCGGCCAGCACACGGGGAGAGGCCTCTGGCTGCGCCGGCCGACTTTCTGCCCAGAGAGGCCAGTGCAGCGGGCACTCAAACTTTGAGAAGGAAAAACCCACCCCCAGAGGTGAGCGAAGTGCCCAGAACGGGGCATCTCTGCCTTGGGGTCCTTACACCAGCAGCTCCGTCTTATCACCCAAAGGTGACCAAGAGAACAGCAAGGACAGAGGTTAAGGAGGGGAGCAAAGGAACGTGTGGGCACAAAGAGACATGGAGAGAGAGAGGGAAATACGATGGGGAGGAAGGAGGGAGAGGCACAGGGAGGGGGAGCAGTGCCTTCTCTGGCCCATGCCCGCTGGCCCCTTTGCTTTTCCTCTCCCTAGATGATCTCTATCCTCCCCCATTAGGCTTCAGGGGAGCCTAGTAAGTTTCAGGTACTTGGATCCCAAGGGGCCTTAATGAAGATGGTATTAAAGCAAAGCACGGGGCCAAGCGGGTGACCAGGAAAGACTCAGGTGGAGGCTCTGGAGCCACCTGAGCACAAGGGGAGGGTGGGAGGTGGCACAAGCTGGGCGCAAGGACAGGAGGTGGCAGGAAAGGGCTCTTACTTTAAGATCTCCGGGCCGGCAAACATCATGAGGTCATGAAGGGCCTTGAACAAGAAGCTCATGAGGAAGTAGGGCCCGAAGGTCTGGTATAACACCTTGAACAGGGACGGGTCCCGCTCCTTCTGGGGGGACTTGACGATCAGAGCCTCGGCCTCCTCGCTCACATCCAGCTTGGAGCTGCCTTTCGTCTGGGTGGGGTCCTTGGAGGGATACACGATCTTCACCGGCTGCCTGGAACATGAGTGGGAAGACATGCAGGGTCTGCCAGAGACTAGGCCCTCCCTCCCCTGCTACTGGAGGGGTCAGAGAACCCCAACCCTGCAGGGAGACCTGGCCACAGAGAAGCAGACTCTGCAGACAGGCTGCTGAGCACAGTGATTGTGAACACAGCCTGGGGAGCCTGGCGAGCTGGGGGATGTAGCCAGGATCCTTAACCTCACTAGGCCTGGCATCTCGCTCTGCTAGGACTGTGCCAACCAACACGAGTTTGAGTTTAGTTTATACAGAAAGGTTCAGTCGGTCACTGACATCAAAAATATAATTATTCATGGAGGGGAATGGGGGGGAGGGGGGAAAAGCTCTGATTCTAAGTGATTTTGACCTAAAGCTATGCTGACACTGTTTGCAAGGAAGGCGATGCTGGGCTTTAATCACTTCTCCCAGTCCTCTGCCAAGATGCGGGGGCTGAGGACCGTTGTCCAAATGTCCCTGATGGGACGCCCTGGTCACTAGTGAGGTTGAAAGGCTGGTGTCGCAGACAGATTTTGCATGACTGCCTCACCACACAGGGTGGAGCCTATTCTGCCTCCTGGTCTATGCAAACGACTTTGCTGGTAGAGGGGGAGGGGTGTTCCCAGAACATCTCTGAGGTGTGTGCCGAAGGCTGGAATGAGTTAGGATAAGGGGGAGAGAGCCCCAGGATAAGGGGGAGAGAGCCCACCCCAACCTGGCTCATCCGTGGTCATCTCTGAGTCCCGGCTGGGGCTCTGTAGACACAGACAAGCTGGTGCTAAAATGCAAATGTAAATTCAAGGGTCCAGGCCAACAGAGCACTCTGTGAACTCGAATAGCAGCAGTCCCAGGAGGGGGAGGGCACACCCCTGCAGACCACAGAGGCCCAGTTTTGCTTTCTGTGTCTTCGCTGTGACCGCGTAGGCCTCTCCCTGCTCGCTTTACTTCCCCTCACGCTGGGTTTCTGGTGGGGACTTTTATTCGGTGTGGTTGCTTTTAGCACACACATGTCCTCTTGGCATGGGGGACAAGAAGGCCGGACAGAGAGGAAGGGAGTGGCCCAGCCCGCCCCGCTTCACTCTGCGCACACTTCCCACCCTGGGCCACTTCCCAGCCTGGGGCCTGCCTGCACCACTGCTGACCCAGGGCCGTTTTTAGTGACCAGGAGCCAGGCTCTCAAAGGGCCAGGGAGAAGGCCTGGTGGACAGGAGGAAGGCTCAGGCCTGGGAGGAAGAGGTCAAGAACAGTGGAAAGGGTCGGCTGAGGCCGAGTGAGGTAAGAAAATATCCCGGGATCGAGCGGCCTACAGGGTAGAGGGTGTTCCCCAAGCGCAGGGGAAGAAAGTTAGTCTGAAGAGCATGACAGAGAGGGTGGGCTGCTGGAGGTCAAGAAGAAAAAGGAACAGGACAACTTGGTCTGATTTTGATGTGGACAAAGCTGCTCATTGCACTCTCATCCATGAATGAATTGAAGGATCCTCGTGAGAGAAACACGAGAAGCATCTGAGAAGGAAGCTATCATGGGGACTTCCTGGAGAAGGTGACATCACAGACAGATCTGCAGAATGAGGGAACAGGTCCCCCTGGGGCAGGAGAGTGTGCTCTAGGCAGAAGGAATAGGCTGAGGGTGGCCTGGAGATAAGGATTTAAAAAGAGAAGCAGCCTTTCCAAGAACTGCAGGAACCTCAGTAAGCAGGGCTAGGAGCAGAGACTAGTGACTTTGTCATTTGTTAGAGAAGATCTTCCATGTGTGGGCAAAAGTATATCTCAGCTTAATTAAAATTCTGAATTTTCTGGATATACTCTGCCTTAGACCCACAACGCCCAACATAACACACAAGGGCAGATTTGCGCTCCGATGCAGAGAATGGATTTTCCAGGCGACACACATGTTCACTCTCCTTAGAGCTGACACCATGCAGCATGGGGTGGTAGTCCCCCTCCCCTGCCATGGAAAATAAAGCCCAGGCAAGATTTTAAATGTTTTGCTTACAAATGCAAATGACTCAGATTTTCTTCCCCTTTTTGATTTAGTTTTGCTTGATGGTTAGTGTGTTTTGTTCCTCCAAAACAGAGGCTCTCAAGAGGGGCTGCTTGGCACAGGGCTGTTCTCTGGTCCTCCTGACATGGAAACGTGAGCATCACCTGCCACCAGCCATGGGAAGGCATGCAGTCAGCCAGGCTGGGTAACAGGGATGGCGAAACCCTAGCCAACAGTGAGGCCTTTTCATTGAGAAGGGATTGAGGGACCCCGCCTCTCCTGAGAACCTCCAACGGGCCATCCAGACATGTGTCTAGGCCATCAGAATCCTGCCTTACTCGCCCCTATGTTGTGGCCCTACCTGGGCCACAGGCTCCAGCTATGTCTCCCACAAGACCACGTCTGCCATGGCCATGGCCACCTTTAGTGGGCCATAAGTCACAAGGCCCTCTGCTGATGCCCTAGCAGCCGGCAGCACAGACACCCCAAATTCCCACCCACTGCCTGGGTCTCACTTAAGACCTACAGTTCCAGTGTTCTTGCAACTGGTGAGGTTTTTCTATCGGTCTATGGGGAATCTAACACACCAGGCTGGCCCCGTGGTCAACCGATTCTGTATAGAAGGTTTGAATAATAACAGTAGCCAAAATATGGAAACAACCTAAATGCCCCCAAACAACAGGTGACTGGCTCAAGAAGATGCGGCCTGTATACACAATGGAATACTACTCAGCAATCAAAAAAGATAAACTCAGGGGCCTCCCTGGTGGCGCAGGCGGTTGAGTACAGCGCTGTGGAGCTGTCCACAGCCTCTGCAGCGCCAGTTCGATGCCTGCTGGCCGCAGAGCAACCCACATGGCGTGGTAGACCTCTCCTGTCTCACCTGCTGCTCCCCTCAGCAGTGTATTTCAATCAGTCTGACTGTTCTGTTCCCCACTCTGTCTCTGGTGAATCCTCTTACCCCCCCACACCTCTGGCCTGTACCCCAGCTCTTATGTGCATAAATATTTTTTTAAAAATACTGTCCAAAAATTAACAACTATGTAAGAAAATAAACATAAAAAATAAATTTTAAAAAAAAGGTAACAAAGCCAGCCCATAAGAACGATGAGGAACGACAGCACTCTTTGCCCTGGCAGAGAGCAGTGGGCAACCTGCGTACCTTCCACTCAATTTTGCCTTGAACCTAAAATATCTCTAAAAAACAAAGTCTAATTAAAAAAGAAAAACCCATGACTGCCACCCACTGTCCCCAAGTCACTCCTGGTTTCAATCTGGCTCCTCGGGACCCAGGATGCGTCTTAAGTCAATGGTGTGTCCTGGTTTAACTGGCAGCAGTTTTTCTTTCTGCCTAGTACATGAAGTTATGATGCACTGTAAGTTCGTGATGACTCAGGTTTGATGGAGAGGGCCTGGTCCGATTTCTGGAATAATTTGATAATAGAGGTCGCATTTGCACGCAGCTTCCATGGGGGTAAGGGGTGGGGTAGGGTGTGTCTGAACTTTATATTCAGGAATCCAAGCGTGAATCATAACATAAACCGTGAACTTGTGATACATCAATGTGGGTTCAGTGATTATAACAAATGTGCCTCTCTGGTGGGGACGAGGGCAGTGGGAGGAGGCTTTCATGTTGGGGGGTGGGGAAATCTCAGTCCCACCTGCTCAATTTGCTGTGAACCTAAAACTGCTCTAAAAAATAGTCTTTAAAGATCCAATCCAGTCAAAATCAGCCTCGATTGGGGTGTCTTTGGCTAAGCCCCTCACAAAGCAGTTGGCTTGGCGGGCTGAACCACCACATCAGGATGGCTTAGGATGTCAGGGCCAGGGAGGGGCCAGGCCGTGTGTCCAGACACAAGCTCACTGCACGTCTCGGCAAACAGAACCCGCTGCCTTTCATTGATGTCTTTCTCTCTTTTCCACCCAAACTGCTCTATCTCCATCTAAGACTCAACCCATTTTGCAGATGAGCAAGCCGTGGCTCAGAAGAACAAAGCACGTGCCCAGGGCCACACAGCTCTTCAGTGGAGGCATGGCCACCACTCTGGGTCAAGGAGGTGGGAAGGAGGAAACAGGTTTGTTCCAGAGGGTGTCTGGCTTCCTCTGAAGCCACGATTGCACACTTACTTTCTGGACTTGGCACATTCCTTCTTCCAGTTCTTGACCAAAACGGGCACAACTTGTTCTGACTTGTCTTCCTTGTTCAAGGACCAGAGGTCAGTGCTCTCCAGGGGATGCCGGTAGCCCCGGATCATCATCCTGGAGCAGAAACACAAGAAGAAGCCGTGAGAGTCCAGAGGGAGAAGACCAGGGCCCTGATACACCCACCCACCGCACACCAGGGTACCCACCCACTACCCAGAGCAACCAAGGGCAGCTCCCACTGTGCGACTGAGAAAACCTAATGTGGACAGACGTTAGGATACAGTCAGTAATCAGTGCTAATTCTTTGTCTCCTCTGCCCCCCAGGAAAAATGGACTCATTTTTCGGAGACACATGCAGAACTCTGTAGGGGAAAACCCCAGGATGGTGTTTGGGGGAAAAAAAAAAAACAAAAACATTTTAAGGCAAATATGGCAGAGTTTTAACCATGGTTAAATCTGGTGATGAGTTTGTTGAGGTGTCTGCTAGCCTTTCTATGTATGAAAGGGATCAAACAGTTTCAGGGTAAAAAGTAAACCCAGTATTTTATCTTGTTGCTCAGAAATAATTTCAGACTTAAAAAAAAAATACACAGGCCTGGGCCTCCCCTGGTGGCGCAGCAGTTGAGCACTGGGCTGCTAAGCTTCCCACAGCCTCTGCAGAGCCGGTTCGATGCCCAGCTGCTGGCGAGGGTCCCACATGGCGCGCAGACTACTCCTGCCGCCCGCTGCTCCCCTCAGCAGTGTACTTCGTCAGTCTGCCTGTTCTGCTCCCCGTTCTGTCTCTGGCGAATTCTCTCACCCTCCCATGCTTCTGACTGTACCCAGTGCTTGTATAAATAAATAAATAAATCTTTTTAAAAAATGTTTAAAAAAATTTAAAAAAAAAAAAATACACAGGCCTACAAAGAATTCCTGTCTACCCCGCTCTGCATTCATCATTGGGAAAGTTTTGTGTCAGGTTCGCGGTGTCATTCTGTCTCTACACGCAGACACACATGTGAACACAATTTTTTTTTTGAGCCATTCCAGAGCAGGTTGCAGACTGTAAGTGTCTGTGACCCTAAATATGAGTGTGTGCCCCGCTAAGAAAAAGGGCTTGCTCATACAGACCCAGGTGGCAGCATCCCATCAGGCGATTAGCCCAGGAGCATGGAGATTCTGCTCATACCCACTACCCCAGCAAGGTCTTCTAAGGCACTTAGGAAAACAATGAAGCACGGAAAGAATTAATTAAAAAAGAGGTTGTAAAAAGTGTACACCCACAAGGAGCAGTGCTGGGGAGGGGGCTTCCAACAGTCTCCAGTGAGACTCTGACACGGTACAACGAAAAGGAGGCTGGCAAGGAAGCAAGTCAAACACAGACAGTGGTGGCCTCTGGTGTCTCGCTGGGCTGATCCAGGCATATTTCTTTTCCCCACATTCCTAGGGCACATGGGTAGCAATTTTCTAGCGGTGAGGGGTCTGAAACAACGCCAGCAACAGCAATTATGCTACTGTGAAAAAAATGTCACACCAGGGGCAGTCCTCTGCGGTGCGCCCAATTCTACGCGGGTTCTGCTTCATGCAGGTCTCACACCTGACTTCATGAATGTGGGGGAAGGGGGGTATCTCCAAGCCCCCAGCCCAGGGTAGACAGACTCAAGACCCCACTCTTACCCTGTGATCCACCAGAAGGTGATCCTGGAGAGGAAGGAGGCACCGGATTCCGGGCAAGGGTTCTAGTGGAGAGAAAGCACAGGGTGGGGAGGAAAAAGGAAATGCACAGTGAGCCTTCTCATCCTCACCAGCGCTCAGTCAGGAGCAGCCAGCTGACCACGCTGTCCCCCAAAGGACAAGGAGCCATTCTCACCATGGATGGCACCCCGAAATGATTCCTCTCCAAAGCCCAGGGGGCCGTGCAAGAAACACAAGGTGGGTCCTGCAGCTTCGCCCAGCAAGTGTCCACCATGTACATAAGGTACAGGGCCCACATCCCCGCCTCATCTTCTGTGCCCACAGCAACCTGGGTGGTGCTGCTGTTGTCCTCACTGTTCAGCATCCACTCATTCAATCAGTCACTCCATTAACAAATATTTATTGAGCACCTGTCCTCTGTCAGGCATTCTATAAAGAGCTGGCAGTATCTTCTATCCTCACAGAAACTTATGAGTGTGTTGTGTATTATTATTATTCCTACTTCATTTCTTCAACAGATATTCTCTGAGCACCTATTCTGTGCCTACCGCCATCAAACAAATCTGGGCCCTTCCCTCTAGGAGCCTCTGCTATATCATAATAATAATAATGATAGTGCTAATCACCTTAATACCCCCTGAAATCCTCCACCAGTTAGCTCTGTCCTGTGCTTTACACAGATTAGCCCATCTAATCTTCAACACCTCCTTACAAGCTGGGTAAAAGCATCCCCCTCATCTTGCAGTTAAAGAAACTGAGAGGCAGAAGGGGCTGACCTGTCTAGGCCCATGGCCAGGAGCAGTGGTAGAGCAAAGAGGGTCCCAAAGCAATTCAAGCTTGAGAGAGACATCAAAAAGTCATGCAAACAGTGCCTCCCCTGGTGGCGCAGCAGTTGAGCGCTGGGCTGCGAAGCTGCCCGCAGCCTCTGAAGCGCCGGTTTGATCCCCGGCCACCAGCGAGGGTCCCACATGGCACAACAGACCTCTCCTGCCGTGCCCGCTGCTCCCCTCAGCAGTGTATTTCTTCGTCAGTCTGCCTGTTCTGTTCCCTGCTCTGGCTCTGCTGAATTCTCTCACCCTCCAGTGCTTCTGACTGCACCCAGTGCTTGTATAAATAAATAAATAAATAAATCTTAAAAAAAAAAAAAAAAGGAAGTCATGCGAACAAAGGCAAAAAACCACAATGGGGATGGGATCTTATCCCAGAAGAAGACCAAGATTACCAATGAGATCACTGGTATCTTAACGGGATCATAGTAAGAGAGCTGATAAGGGGCTGAGGGCTGCTCTAGTTGATGGGGCTCAAGGAAGTGGTCCTTAGCGAGTCATTCCAGCTGGGGTCTGAAAAGAGTAGCGGACAGCTAAGAAAAGGGAGAGGTAGCATGTTCCCAGGGGAGTGGTGTGTGCAAAGGCCCTCTAGCAGGTTCCTATTCCAGGAACCCAGAGAGAGCCTGAACAATCCACATTGGAGGCAGCGCATGGTCTACATTGGAGGCCATGTAAGGAATTCTGATGTTCATCCTCAGGACAACAGGACGTCACTTTCGGATTCTAAGCAAGTTCTCAAAGAACCTCTTTCCCAGAGGCACTAGGAGGAGCTCAGCATCAGCAAGGAGTGAGGGAGGCACACAGGGCAGGATTCCACTTTGCAACACTTAGGGCCAAATTCTGCAACACAGGCTTTAGTGCAGGGGCGGGGGGGGGGGGGGGAGGGAGGGGTCACCACTCATCACCACAGTGATGAGTCGCTGAGCTCAGGATGTCCCTCCATGTTCCAGAAGTTTAGAGACAAGATTAGGAGAGCGAAGAGCCAGAAGACAGAGCAGCCTCTACCCAAGTGGTTTTCATCAGGGCTGGGAGTGCTTTTCAAAACACCGCCCCGGGACCCTGACCCTGGAGACTGTGATAGGCTGGTTTGGGGTAGGACAAGAGCAGCTAGCTTTTGTTTCTGTTTTTAATTCCCAGAGTGTCCTTGGCAAAGTGGCTGGGCAGGAAATGTCCAAGATCAACCTAGAACATCTCCTTACCCACGGCAAGGAAACTAAAGATGAGGAATGTTGCTAAAAGGCCTCAGAAGCAACCAGAAGTGGTTCCCATGACAGCCCCAAGAGGCACAATCTGAGCTGTAGTAATCCCTAGAATGCACCGGAACATGTCATGAACACCTGAACATGTAAGTTTTTATCAAAGAACTTCTGGGTGTCACTGACAAACAATGCTAACGCGCCCAGTTGTTGTTTTGGAAACAGACATGGGGAAGGAAACAGGCATTTTTCCTGCCTTTCCTGAATGAGCTAAACCAGAGGGTGGTCAAGAGATAAAAGGAGGATCATGCATAGAAATAGCCCAGCGAATAAGTGAAGGAAGCATGGAAGACCTAAGAGACTGACATTTTGCAACCACAATGGATTATTGGAATATTTGATGACAGGAGTTGGATGTTATGAGAGAATTATGAATGTTTTTAGGTCAGATAATGGTCTAACAGTTACAGGGTTTAAAATCTTTCTCTTGGGCCTCCCCTGGTGGCGCAGCGGTTGAGCACTGGGCTGCGAAGCTGCCCGCAGGCTCTGCAGCGCCAGTTCAATCCCCAGCCACCGGCGAGGGTCCGACGTGGCGCAACAGACCTCTCCTGCCCATGCCCGCTGCTCCCCTCAGCAGTGTATTTCATCACTCTGCCTGTTCTGTTCCCTGCTCTGGCTCTGGTGGATTCTCTCACCCTCCCGTGCTTCTGACTGTACCCAGTGCTTGTACAAATAAATAAATAAATCTTTTTTTAAAAAAAAAGGATAAGTTAATTTTAAAAAATAAAAATTAAAAAAAAATCCTTCTCTTTCAGATATTACTTTGGGGGAACGGCAGAGAGGGTGTATGGGAATCTAGTCTCTGTACAACTTTCCATGAGCTGTTATTTGAAAAGATAAAGCTATTGAAAATATAATTTCTGGGGCCTTTCTGTTGGCGCAAGGGGTTAAGATGCAACCTATGAAGCAATCTGCAGCCTCTGCAGCACGAGTTCAATCCCCAGGCGACCACGGAGCAACCCACATGGCGAAGCAGACCTCTCCTGTCTCCCCGCTGCTCCCCTCAGCAGTGTATTTCGGTCATTCTGCCTGTTCTGCTCCCCACTCTGTCTGGTGAATCCTCTCACCCACCCCCCTGCATCACTGGCCTGTACCCCAATTCTTGTATGCATAAATAAATAAATCTTTAAAAAAAGAAAGAAAAGAAAAGAAAAGAAAAGAAAAGAAAAGAAAAGAAAAGAAAAGAAAAGAAAAGAAAAGAAAAGAAAAGAAAAGAAAAGAAAAGAAAAAAGAAAAGAAAAGAAAAGAAAATTTCTGGTCTTTCAGAGGTATGTGTGGTGCAGAGTGAAGCATCCATGCAGCTCAATATATGCTGCTGTGCACTCTTGTACATGTGTGAAGTTTGCATGATAAAGTTACATGGGAAGCATCCCTGTTGATTCAGACACACAGCCCAGGCTGAGAACCACCTGCTTCACTCTGGGGCTGTGAGTGTCAGGACCGTGCAGCCCTGGCTGCCCCAGAACCACCTGGGGAGTTTGTTAAATGGAGGTATCCCGGGCACCAACTAGATCAGGGGGCCCCTACCATTACACAGTAGGTCCCCCCCTTAATATCATCACTAGGTCTTGTGATCTGTGAATTTAAACAAAATGATGTATGTTACAAGCAGGCTCTCCACCTGCATGGTTTTGTTCAACATTTTCCCTGCAACATCATAATGAAAATTTAACAAGAGGATGTTACTCAAGGAGCTCTGTTCAGGTAAATCAGATGCAGCCAGCCCACAGGCATTTGGCCAGACCAACCCACAGCAGACTGTGATGCTGGACAGACATGGGTTCAAATCCTAGCTCTGCTATTTTCTAGCTCAATGCTATTAGGCAAGTCCCTTCCCCATAGAGCCTGGGTTTGCACATCTGAGAAGTGGGATCCCTTGTCTTACTTCTCAGCCTACCTGCAAGGACTACAAGGACAAGCAGAATGAGGTCCATGGGACCATGTTGTGAGCTGGAATTTTTCTAACCGCAGGTGCCAACCTAAGGTGGAGGAGGTGACGGCATTTACTCTGTAGGCTGGTACTGCTTCTGGAAGTGGGTGGATTATCAAGGAATTGCAAATGCATTTCGATTGTAGCCCAATTCCTACCCACAGTGGAAAGTCAAAGTAGCTGGCAGAGGACGGGGGGAGGGGTGGGTGCAGCTGGCAATGACTCATTTATTTCTTGAGCAAATATTTAGGGAGGACCTGCTTGCGTGCCAGGAGGAGGCCAAATTCTGGGAACAAAGCTCTGAATAGACGCCATGTCGATTCCTGCCCCATAAGCTTCCCACGTGGTGGGGGATGGACAAGAAGCAAACCAAGGGCCTCCCCGGCGGCGCAGCAGTTGAGCGCTGGGTTGCGAAGCTGCCCTCAGCCTCTGCAGCACCAGTTTGATGCCCGGCCGTGGGGCGAGGGTCCCACATGGCGAGTAGACCTCTCCTGCCGCCCGCTGCTCCCCTCAGCAGTGCATATTTCATCAGTCTGCCTGTTCTGCTCTCCGCTCTGGCTCTGCTGAATTCTCTCACCCTCCTGTGCTTCTGACTGTACCCAGTGCTTGTATAAATAAATAATCTTTTAAAAAAAAAAAAGAAGCAAACCAAGATGCCAATAAAGATGTAACTAAAACTGGTGAGACTCCCAACAAAGGCAGAAAACGGGGTGCCAGAGTAAAAGGGAGGGGTAGGGGTGGCTTGTGTGGGAGAAGCATGTAGCAAGGTATTCTGCCACTCCCCAGCCATGGGACCGCACCTTACTTGGTGGTGACAAGATTAAATGAGATAAAGCATGTGAAGTACTTAGAACAGTACCTGGCACAGAGTAAAAGCTCAAGAAATGGCCGTCGTGGTGATACTAATAAGAAGAGTGAAAACAGTGTTAAGAAACAAAATTCGCAAATCGAGCAAGCCAATTGGCTTGACTAAATGATGTACAAATTGGGTGGCCCCACCCAAACCCACTGACTCAGAAGCTCTGGAGTGA